TCAGTCTCTGCTAATGAGCTGATGATCTGAACCAGATGTGTTTGGTTAAAGAGACTTGGAAAATGTGCAGAGCTGGTGATCCTCCAGGACCGTGGTTGAGAAACACTGGCTTAACATATATAACATGTAACATTATAAGTGAAATAATCGGTCTCATGATTTCCTACTAATCAAATTGCGCAAAGAAAAATCAGAGAGACCGACTGCAAGACACGGATACTTTATAAGTGCAGCAAACATGAAAAGTTTGACTGTTTGGACTGTTTGTCACTGATGAGAAGATAAAAGATGCCTACTGTATGATGACTGAAATCACCAAACGGCCTTAAACTATGGAGCCAGATCAGTCTCCGAAATAATACCTTTACTAAATTGTTAATACATGCACAGCACAATTCCCATTTACAAAATCCAATTTGTAAACGCACAATTTGTAAACACACAAGTAAAAATCATATATATTTTCTGCAAATAAATTAGATCTGTGTATTTTTGAATTGGGTTTGTGTATTTACAAATCGTGTTTTGAATAAACGAACTGGATTTGAGTATTTTTAAATCGTGTTTTTGTGTATTTGTATATTTACGAATTGTGTTTTTTTACATGCATAGCACAATTCACATTTACAAAATCCAATTAGTAAATTTGTAAACACACAAGTAAAAATTATATATAGTTTCGCCCAATGAATTGGATCTATTTTTGAATTGTGTTTTAAATTTACAAATTAGGTTGGTGTATTTACGAATTGTGTTTTGAATATACGAATTGGATTTGTGTATTTTCAAATAATTTTTTTGAATTTACGAATTGGGTTTGTGTATTTTTGAGATGTTTTAAATGTACAAATTGGGTTTGTGTATTTATGAATCGTGTTTTAAATTTACTAATTGGATTTGAATATTTTTAAATTGTTTGAAATTATGAATTGAATTTGTGTATTTTTGAATCTCATTTTAAATTTACAAATTGGATTTGTGTATTTGTTAATTGTTTTGAATTTCTGAATAGGGTTGTGTATTTATGAATCATGTTTTGAATTTGCGAATTGGATTTGTGTATTTTTCCCAGAGATGGGTTGCAGCTGGAAGGGCATCTGCTGCGTAAAACGAGCTGGATAAGTTGGTGGTTCATTCTGCTGTGGTGACCCCAGATTAATAAAGGGACTAAGCCAAAAAGAAAATGAATGAATTAATTATTTGTGTATTTTTGAATAATTTTTTTAATTTACGAATTGGATTTGTGTAATTTTTAATTGTTTTGGATTTCTGAATTGGATTTGGGCAGTTTTAAATGGTTTTGAATTTACGAATTAGATTTGTGTATTCACGAAATATGTTTGGAATTGGAATTGTGTGATTTGGAATCATGTTTAAAATTTATAAATTATATTTGTGTATTTTTGAATCGTGTTTTAAATTTACGAATTGGATTTGTGTATTTTTAAATTATGTTTTGAATAGTGTTGTGGATGTACAAATTTTATTTTGACGATGTATTATTTTTAAGGGGCTGCACGGTGGTGCAGTGGTAGCAAGATCGCCTCACAGCAAGAAGGTCGCTGGTTCGAGCCTCAGCTGGGCCAGTTGGCATTTCTGTGTGGAGTTTGCATGTTCTCCCTGTGTTTGTGTGGGTTTCCTCTAGGTGCTACTGTTTTCCCCACAAGTCCAAAGACATGTGGTATAGGTGAACTGGGAAAGCTAAATTGTCTGTAGTGTATGAGTGTGAATAAGTGTGTGGTCATCCCAGTGATGGTTGCAGCTGGAAGGGCATCAGCTGCGTAAAACATATGCTAATAAGTTGGCTGTTCATTCCACTGTGGCGACCCCAGATTAATAAAGGGATTAAGCCGAAACGAAAATGAATGTATGATTATTTTTGAGACTGATCTGACTATATTAAACAGTAACTACATGCATTACAGAATGTTACGTTTTCAAACAAATGCACAAATGACATGTTCTATATGTGCTTCAGGAGTTTAGATTGCAGCGCCAACTAGTGGACACTCAGTTTGTTAGTCAGGGTTAAAATTTGTAATCTCAGATTTTCAATGTATATAAATCATTAATGGCTAATTATTTAACGTACACTTGAAAAGAAAATGGCACTGATATAAACTACATTTCTCATTTGCAGGGTATAAGATTTTCACAAATTTTCACAGCGTAATCCTCATTGCTAATGAGTAATTTTGGAAGGGCATTTTTTTCTCATATTTTGAGTACAGATTCTTTAACATTTCTTGCGCTGCATTTTTTTGAGTATGATTTTTAATTGACAGATTTTTGGTGGTACTCATTTCACCACTGATAATTAAAAAAGACATGGATCAAAATCAGAGAACGTTTTTTAGATTTCTCTCAGTTACTGGTGTTACATCGTGTAGCGATTTCTTAAAATAACTGACACACAGTTTTTTTTTTCTTGTCTTCAGTTGATTCGTAAACAACCCAAATTAAAATGTTAATGATTATACTTACTTTATTTCTGGAGAGAAATTCACAAATTTCGATTTTTAGTGTATGAATTATAATGTAGGTTTTCTTTTTTTTTTTTACAGGTATTTAGATGTGTCTGACTGACCTGTTCAAGAGTTTCCCCCAACACAACCAGATGTTCTGCTGATCAACAAAACACATTTTCATCTCCCAGATTAGCAGAATATTCATGTACTCCCATCAGTTGGGATCTCATAGAGACTGTTGGCTCCATCTTTAGGCAATCTTTTTGTTTTATTATTATTGTTCTTTTTTAATATTTTGAATGTTTTCTAAAAAAACAAAAAACAAATTGTTGTAAAGTTCAGCAGTTGAACTGCCTTCTGCATAAAATGTTTTGACTTTTTTTGTTTGTTCGTTTTTTATTTTACATTTATCGAGGAAATTTGACAATCGGGTCAAAAATACAGTCCTCCAGAACTCGTGGGTGCTAAAATTTGTCACGGCCAACCTAAACTGATCTGTTGTGACTAAAATGTTTAAAACTCTTTTTTAAAAAAGGAAAGTTAAAGGTTTCATTTTAAATATTGACTTTTAGTACACTAAAAATGACAGAATTTAGATAAAATATGGACAATCTCAACCCTTAGGTTATGGTTGGGGGTAAAAAAAAAGTTTGTAAAAAAAAATAAATAATTACCCAGAAGTTGTTTTAGTTTATATTTTACCAAAATTCTTGTGTTGGGAAAAAACTGCATTAGTGTAATAAATTCACCATAATTTACCCTTTAATTCAAGAAAGGTGAAAATCAGTATTAATACATTCAGAATAGTTTTGTGTTTTTCTCAATGCCAGTGTTTAACTGGGAAACTTGAGGTGTTGGTGAACATTAATAGTTACAAAGTGTGCAGGTATGTTTTTTTTTAAGTCAGGTTTTGTTTTCGACTCATGTCTGGTGCTTGTTAAAACTGCCTGACTTTTCTTTTTGTTTATAAGCTATTCATACTTGACATTGAATAATATTTCCACAGTCTGAACCTGAAATCAAAAATGTGAATGATGATTCATACAATGTGACACGTGATTCATTCAAGGTGATTCATGCTTCGATAACTTAACTAAACATGTTGCTGGGCGAAAAATGTTTTTATCTGTTTTGTTCATAACCCACTTCTGCACAATCACAACCATGTTTGTTCTCCACATTTCTCAAAATAAAATGTTCATGAGTTAAGTCTTGATTTCTTCTTTTTGCAATAATACGAAAGATATTAGCTGGGTCATTCTACAGAAATGTCTGTTATCTGTGACATCAGAAATATTACATTTGAACTAATCTTAAATTTACAATTTCTTTATATTATAAAATGAACAATACACTCATTGGAGTCATCGATGTGACAATAAGTGTTTTTATTATCTAAAATTTCAACCACAAAACTGCTTGTGACCCCAGCCACATACAGAAGCAAGATGCTTTATTTTGAGGAGAAAAACTGATATTTTACACTTTAAAGTACAATAATGTTTTCATAACATTCGTGTGTGTATATGATGTAAATTACAAAAAGAAAATGCTCAATAAATACTAACTAAAAACCTGATTAAAACAAGTAAAAAAAAAACTCCTTATTTGATTTTTATCATTATTTTTTCTTACAACTGACAATACTGTGCTGACAATATTATTATATTACAGATAAATAAAATTTCATAAAACCTTAAAAAGTAGGTAAAACAAGTAAAATTAAGCTGGACTAAGTTTAAATATTAGAAGAAAAAAAGTATATAGTTTAAGAATCATTAGCCCCTTTGTTTTATTTTTTTTCCCTGTTTTCTGTTTGACAGACAGAAGACTTTTTCAACACCTTTCAAACATAATAGTTTTAATAATTTATTTATTTTATCTTTGACATGATGACAGTAAATAATATTTGACTCGAGATTTTTCAAGTCACTTTTATACAGCTTAAAATGACATTTTACGGCTTAACTAGGTTAATTAGGTTGACTAGGCAGGTTAGGGGAATTAGACAAGTTATTGTATAATGATGGTTTGTTCTGTAGACTATCGAAAAAAAATAGCCTAAAGGGGCTAATAATTGTGACCTTAAAATGTTTTTTTTTTTTTTTTTTTTTTAATGTAAAACTGCTTTTAGTCTAGCCAAAATAAAACAAATAAGACTTTCTCCAGAAGAAAAAAAAATATTATCAGACATACTGTGAAAATGTCTTTGCTCTCTTAAACATCATTTGGCAAATATGTAAAAAAGAAAAAAATTCAAACGGGGGGCGTATATATATATATATATATATATATATATATATATATATATATATATATATATATATATATATATATATATATATATATATATATAATTATTTTTATATAGATAGATAAATACATGTATATATATAGATTACACACATGTGTAAAATAATCCCACTTTGAAGCAACACTGAATACTATTTTGCGTTATGGTTCAGGTGCATAGCCGTTTTAAATGTCCCTCTCTTTTTACTTAGTGGATTAACTGTTAACTCGCCATTACGGTTAGTATGCCAACATCTCTAACAGACCAAAGGGCAGAAGGCCAGCAGTCACTCGCTCTGAGACGCTGAAAAGAACAGCTTTAGTTATAGCGAGATTTACTTTGAGCTGTCTACGAACATTTACTATCTGACCAAATGGCAACCACAGAGCTCTACACAAAGGTAAAGTTTGCATTTTACATTAATGTTTTTATTCTACATAGAAAACATGACTGAGAGAACAATGAGATCTGAATGAACAAATGATAAGATAGATACAGTATGCAGACAGACAGATAGATGGATAGATAGATAGATAGATAGATAGATAGATAGATAGATAGATAGATAGATAGATAGATAGATAGATAGATAGATAGATAGATAGATAGATAGATAGATAGATAGATAGATAGATAGATAGAGGGACGGACAGATAGATAGACAGATATATGTATAGTTTTGTACATCAGGTTTTTTTCTAGTGTTACAGGAGTCTGGTTGGTGTTAATGTTTAATGGTGTGCCGGGTGTATTTGTGCTGATGGAGGAGAAACAGTCACTGGGGTGGGACAGGCAGTCAGTCAGGCACATGAGCTGCTTGTGAAACATTTTAAATAATGAATCAATTTCCACGGTATTCATATCTTCAGACACAGACATAATCAAACCTATAGACTGATCAACAGTCATGCTTCTGGAAGGGGCACTTTAGCTCCAACACTCCTGCATCTGCCCTTAAAAATTATGTTTGCTGTTTGTTCAAACTACTTATTTTAAAGTGAACTGAAACACAATTCTTGAGTTTTTTGGGACAAATTAATTGTTTAATGTACTATCTACTTAAATTTGTATAAACTAATATATTAACTAACTTCTTTCATGCTGTCCCTACACAAATCAATTATGTGGAAGCCAGCATTTTTTACAGAGTTTATATTCTGAAGACATGTAATACGGTATAAAGCAAAGAGAATTAAAAGGATTGTTCACTCAAAACTGAAAATTCTGTTATCATTTACTCACCCTTCACTTGTTTAAAACTTATTTGAGTTTCTTTAGTTGAACCTAAAAGGAGATATTTTGAAGAAAGCTAGAAATCTGCAACCATTGACTTCCATAGTATTTGTTTTCTTACTATGGGAGTCAGTCATTACAGGTTTCCAGCTTTCTTCAAAATATCTACTTAGGTGTTCAACAGAAGAAAAACTCAGAGGGTAAGCAAATAGTGAGTACATTTTCATTTTTGGGTGAACTAGCCCTTTAAAAGGCTTTTTGGGTGACATTTACTGTTGGTTATGATTGATATGAATCTAGTCATCATGCTTCTGTTGGCTGTCACAGGGGGCATGTGTGTGGGTGCCAGACCCAGAAGCTGTGTGGGTGTCTGCACAACTGCTTCGAGACTACAGTCCTGGAGACCAGCAGATCTCAATCCAGCTACCTGATGGCAGAGTAAGACACATGCACACATATTTCATACTGATATGAGACAAGCTTATTATAATGTAGCTTTTTCAAATGTAACTTTTATTTTGATGCTATTTTTCATTGTCTGTACCATTCAGTTTAGTTTTAGCTTGTGTGATTAATGTTTATGTTAGTTTTACTTTAGTTTTTAATTTGCAAAGACATTTTATTTAGTTTTATATATACAGCAGGTCACCATTTTTCTTAGTAAACATATTTCTAAAAGTGCTGTTGACTTGAAATTTTCACCAAATGTTGGTAAAAATCAAAGAAATCCAAATATGCAAAGAAAACAAAACTAATTAGTTTTGAAATAAAGTTATGCATTAAAAAAATGAAATGACGCAGGGAAAAAGTTTTGAAAACATGAAAAAAGGGAGGTGTAGAAAGGCAGTGAAAGCCTAGACAGCAGCTGAAATCTCTCAGGAGTTCTTCAGCAACCTTCTGCCCTTCGTCATTGCAAATGAATACCAGCTTCTTCAGTCCGACATTTACATTATCAGGATGATAAAGATCAAACCAGGGTAAACATTTCAGCAAGACAATGATCCAAAACACAGCCAAGGAAACTCTCAAATCCAGACATTCCCTGTCTGGGCTTTCCCTGCCTTTCTTCATGTGTTCAGTAATTTTCCCCTGTGTCATTTCTTTTTATGACACTTAAACTAATTTGATTAGTTTTCTTTGTATATATGGATTTGGTTGGTTGCTCACAACCTTTGGTGAAAGTTTCAAGTCAACAGCACCTTTAGAAATATGTTTTCTGAGAAAAATGGTTGAATATTTATTTTCCCAGAGGTACTCTTACAAGACTAACTGCCTCTTAATTTATATATATTTATTTTTTTTAAATAAGGAGATGGAGTATCCAGTCTTGCCTCCGGCTGGTCTTCCACCTCTTGGTAACCCTGATATTTTGGAGGGAGAAAATGACCTCACAGCCCTGACTTTTCTCCACGAGCCAGCCGTACTTCACAACTTGCGTGTGCGCTTTCTCGACTACAGTAGTATCTATACTTACTGCGGTGAGTTTAAGTTTTCAGAAAACAGTGGCAAGTTTATACAGCCATGAACCAATAACCTTCATTTTAGTGGGAGTAAAGTTCAAGGCACAGAAATTTAGATCACTCATCGTTATATTGGCTACTGTCAAGAACTTTAACCAAGCAATGGGTTTATTGGCATGTAAATTATGCATAGAGATACATGGTTTCAACTAGATTTCAATCCCAAACATAATCTTTACTTACTGATACTTTAATAGGGATCGTGTTGGTGGCATTAAATCCATACGAGCCGTTGCCCATTTATGGAGAAGAGGTGATTGACGCTTACAGCGGACAGGACATGGCTGATATGGAGCCCCACATTTTTTCTGTGGCTGAAGAGGCGTACCGAACGATGATCAGGTCAAGAACATTCAAATAAGAATAGTTCACAAAGAAAAATATCATGCTTTTGGTCTCCCACGTAGAAATCTGATATATGGTAATATTTGCAAATGATATAGATAACATATAAGTTCATATCTGGATTTGAATTGAAACCATTTGAAAGTAAATATGTACATATATGTTCAAATATATTAGCTGTAATGTTATTCAGTACATGTTTGCATATAAACAAATATTAACATACACATTCACTTTAAAAAGTCTGGCTGCCTTAACTTTTTATAGTTAAATCAAATGAACTTTTCTAGTCGTCCCAGTTTACATCAATCAAGCTGACTGAAAAATGTTTAGTTAAACTTTGTATGACTTAAGAAATTTTTAGTTGAAACTTGGTTAACTTTTTTAAATAAGGTAAAATGACATAAAAACATTTGTTGTTATTTGTAATTTTTTTAGTATATATATATAACCCACTGGTCCTACTGCACTTAACTGGATCTGAGCTGGGATAAAACCACCGATTCTTTGCATGGGAGTTGGTTGGCCTATCAAGGTGGTTAAAAACTATGGCCTCTAGCATCTGTCGCTAGAGCACCCCTAGAGGTCAGAGGAGTGAGGTTTACCTGCATAGCACTTCGCTAGCTGGCCTCCTTTATATATATATATATATATATATATATATATATATATATATATATATATATATGGAGTTAACGTGTTAACCCTTTGATGCACAAGGTATAAAATAGATATAGAAAAAATAAACTTAGACAGGTCACTTTAGACCCATGTAGTGCATTAAAGGTTTAACAAAGGTTCGGCAGCGCGACCACACCTCACTTTGCCTCTTGAACATTTCATCTACTTTCTAAATCTTATTTAAGGCAGACCAGCCCTTTAGCAATGTTCTTTTCATGCTTCTAAACCCACTTTCCCCCTCTCCCTTTATTTTCTTGCTTCCCATTAACAATCCTATAACCCTCTCTTCCCTCCTAGGTTGAATCGAGGGGGTACAATCACTCTATCAAAATATTACAGAGACGCTACCCCCACTCTGAGTCTCTGGGCATCATCATATGATGCCTAATCAACCTACTTACCTGCTCACTATTTATCCTCTTACTTTCCCTCCCCTTCAAACCACTGTTCCCTTACCATCCTTTTCATCCCTACAATAAAGTCTAGCTCAAAGCGTGGCGTGGTCCATGCTGGTGAAAAGTGTGTCTAGTCCTGCTCCTAAAGGGCCAATGCCCTGCAGATTTTGGCTTCAATAATAAACTTACAAATTTTAAATGAGCCTGAACTTGATTAGCTACAGCATTAGGAGTGTTAGGACTAAACCTAAACTTTGCCGGAGAGTGGTCATATTATGAATTACCTTTGATTACCATGAATTTGTATAATATGTTCAATTAACCCGTAAGTGGGTCATATTTTCATATACAGGGAGGAGAAAAACCAGTCCATCATAATCAGTGGAGAATCAGGCTCAGGTAAAACTGTATCTGCTAAATTCACCATGCGCTACTTTGCTGTTGTGGGTGGTGCGGCCCAACAGACCAGTGTGGAGGAGAAAGTCCTGGCATCCAATCCCATCATGGAGGTACTGAAACTTGACTTCTGACCTTTCTGGTGTAGGAAGATGCTGTTTATTGAAATGTGGTCATTGTAACACTTGCAGGCAATTGGTAATGCAAAAACAACTCGCAATGACAACAGCAGCCGTTTTGGGAAATATATTGAGATCGGATTTGGATGTAAAGGGGACATTATTGGGGCAAACATGAGGACCTACTTGCTGGAGAAATCAAGAGTCGTCTTTCAGGTGCTTGATTATTTAGTGCAAGGGTTTTCAATCTCGGTCCTGGAAGTCCGGTGTCTTGAAGATTTTAGCTCTAACCCCAGTCAGACATACCTGGGCTAGCTTATTAAGTTTTTACTAGGCCAGGGGTGTCCAAACTCGGTCCTCGAGGGCCGGTGTCCTAAAGAACTTAGCCAAACACACCTGGACCAGCTAATCAAGCTCTTACTAGATATACTAGAAACGTCCTGGCAGGTGTGTTGATGCAAGTTGGAGATAAATTCAGCAGGACACCAGCCCTCCAGGACCAAGTTTGGACACCCTTGTACTAGGCTTTCTAGAAACATCCTTGCAGGTGTGTTGAGGCAAGTTGGAGCTAAAATCTGCAGAGCACCAGACCTCCAGGACACAGTTTGAAAATCCCTGATATAGTGTGTTCATTTTTTTATCTCTTACAAAACTCTTTTATTAAGATGCATTTTGTTTTATGAATAGGCAGCTGACGAGAGAAATTACCACATCTTCTACCAGCTTTGTGCTTCCAGAGATTTGCCAGAGCTGAGGACACTTAGACTTGGTAAAGCCTAAACTGGTGATCCAAAAACATGCTACTTTTTTCTTTTTTTACATGTGTTGGACATGATTGTTTGATCACAACCCAGCAAGCATTTTGTGTAGAAAAAAATCAAATAAATGTCTAACAGCTTTTGTCTTGGTTAAATCAAGGCTACATTTATTATTGATAATCTAATAGACGTATCAGAAGAAGAATCACCCAAATATTAGACTAAACATCAAATAGACAGGACTTTCTAACTAAAAATGTAAAGTCTGTCTAATCCAGGGATGGGCAAACTCTGTCCTGTAGGGCCAGTCTCCTGCAGAGTTTCTATTCTTAGACAACTATGGGATTTTCACTGACAGCCCAAATTTAGCTTGTTTTAGTCAGGATGTCTGCATTTAGATGTCTATTAGACATCTGTAAAGACAAAATTGCTTGGTGGGCATGCATCTCTCTAGATTCTGCAGAGAATTTCCATTACACCAACCAAGGACAAGATGTGCACATTTCGGGTACAGATGATGTAGTCGAGCTAGAGCGGACAAGAAATGCCTTTACTATACTTGGTAAGGTAAAATACACCAATATGCTCCATTATTGCCACATGCTGCATTTTGTAAAAGAGTGTGGTTCATCCCTGCAGGAGTGCAAACAGACCAGCAGATGGAGATATTTCGTATCCTGGCAGCTATTCTTCACTTGGGGAATGTCAACATACAAGCCAGCGGTCGTGGTGGGGACCGCAGCTACATTGATGTACAACCACAATTTCCTATTACTGTGTACATGTCAAAATCCAAATTAAAGAAACAATTTTATGTCTGTATACATTAACATCAGGAGCAGTGCTGTTCTTGCTAATCTAATAACATGCAGAATGTGCTAATAAGGACATCATTTCTTATTCATCAACGTATTGGCAGGGCGATGACCGTTCCTTGGCAGTCTTTGCCAAGCTTTTGAGGGTGGAAGGTGCTCAGATGGCCCAATGGCTATGCCACAGGAGACTAGCAGTGGGTGGGGAAATGCTTGTAAAGCCCATGACTGGCCAACAGGCAAATGAGGCACGGGATGCTCTGGCTAAGCATGTGTACGAGCAACTGTTCACATGGACAGTGCAGAGGCTCAACTCATCCTTACGAGCACACCGGGAAAAGCCTAAATCTTTCACAGGAGTCCTTGATATCTATGGGTATGTGAGTTGTTCTGTACTGTTTTGCAACATTATGGATCACTTTTAACAATCTTTTTTTATTGTGTGTAGGTTTGAGACTTTCGACAGAAATAGTTTTGAGCAATTCTGTATCAACTATGCAAATGAGAAACTTCAGCAGCAATTCAACAGAGTAAGTTTCCTGATTTGGGGGATCAATAGGTTCAAATAGTTGTCCATGATCAGCAAGGGTGCCTCTAGTAATTTTAGACCCTATGAAATAATATGCCACCTTGGCAATTTTAATGCTAATAAAGTTGATATCTGGAGGCCCCCAAAGAGTGTGGGACCTTAGAATCATGCTAACTTTTTCACACTTCAACAGGGATGGTAAGGACTGTTCCAGGGTCACTGATCCGAGAGGGGGCCTCGTGCAGGTTCTCCAATGAAAGGGATTGACTAATCCAACTTAACCCCTGGAAAGCACTATAGACCCTTTCTATAACAAAAAGTTACTATTTAAAAAGGCCAGAGTCAAAAAGCTCTCCAGGGGCCCCAGAAACTATAGTGCTACCTATGATGAGTCAACTCATTATTTATTTATTATTTTAAGTTTTTTTTTCTTTGGGTTGTTGCCTTTATTCGAACAAACATTATTTATATAGGAAACAAACTTGAAGAGAGAGAGAGAGTGAGAGATAGAGGATTGGATTGGGAAAGATCCCCAATCTGAGACTTGAACTCAGGATGCAAAAGCACAATTGCAATAAATGTCGGATATGGGTGTTGACTTTCTGTCCACTCAATATTTCAACCTTTAAAGAGTGACTTGGTTAGGTTCTGCCTCACTAATGTACAGTTCACCCATGCCTTTTCTTGGTTCCACTGAGTTTTTTAGAACTCGTCTTTCCATTAGCTTACTTGTTGACCCAACCGTTTCATTCTGCAGACTTTTAAGCATACCTATTGTCTTCGTCAGCATGTGTTTCAGCTGGAGCAGGAGGAGTACCTGCGAGAGGAGCTTCCCTGGAACCGTATTGAATTCAGTGATAATCAGCCATGCATTGCACTCATTGAAGGCCAGCTGGGCCTACTTGATCTTCTGGATGAAGAATGCAGAGTAAACAAACAAAATACACATTGTTGTACCTTCTATTGCAAGTACCAATGTTTAAAAAACAGAGTCTTTCTCTGCTCTAGATGCCAAAAGGTTCAGATGACAACTGGGCTCGAAAGCTTTATGACCAGCACCTAAACCACAGCCCTCATTTTCTTAAACCACGCATGTCCAACTCTGCATTCATTATTGTGCATTTTGCTGATAAGGTCAGAAAACGAATATTAATAAATGGCCCTCACCAAACCATTCAATATCTGTAATATTATTGCTGGCTTTTTTTGCCATTAGGTTCAGTACGAGTGTGATGGCTTTTTGGACAAGAACCGAGACACTGTATTTGAGGAGCCCATCAATATACTGAGAGCTAGTCAGGTATTACTTGAACAGTACAGTAATTAGTTCAACTAATGTAGTTTTGTACTTACTTTGCTTATTCACACCTGTCCATACTCTTCTCAGTCAGAACTAGTTGCAGAGTTGTTCCAGAAAGAGTCAGCAGGGGGATGTCTTCCTAACTCCACTCTTGCAAATGGAAGCGTACGTTCAGGGAAAAGAGCTCACAGAGAGCACAAATTAACTGTGGGCTTTCAGGTAAGCTGCTTCTCTCCCTGCAACTGTCAGATAAAAGGAAATTAATTTCAAGTGGTCAATGCTCAAAGTTGCCCCTTAATGTGTTCTCTAACTCTTTTAGGTTTGAACATTTTCTGATATATTCTCTTTGCATATCTAGTTTCGCCAATCCCTGCAACTTTTAATGGACACCTTGAACAGCACTACCCCTCATTATGTTCGCTGCATAAAGTCCAATGACCTCAAAAAGCCCTTTCTGTAAGAGAAAAATTAAGATGTCCTATGCATTCATTCCTCTAGAGTTTTGAGTAACCTTTTAACCTTCACCATATCAGATTTGATCCCAAGCGAGCTGTGCAGCAGCTGCGAGCATGTGGAGTCTTAGAGACCATCCAAATTAGTGCCGCAGGCTACCCTTCCAGGCAAGTTTACTTGTAAAAGTCTCTCGAATTCAATAACAATAATTTCACCCCCAATTACTTCAACCAAATTCTAGGTGGACATATGAGGAGTTCTTCGCCCGTTACCGGGTGCTGCTACAAGGTTTTGTTTCTCAGGATGATGTGCGCCATTCCTGTCAGAGCACCCTTCCTGATCTTATCCCTGATCCGGAGCAATACTGCTTTGGCAAGACCAAGGTTTTCTTCCGGGCTGGGCAAGTAGCGGTTCTGGAGAAGCTTAGAGGAGATCGGCTACATGCAGCAGGGGTTTTGATCCAAAGCTGGGTGAGAGGATGGCAACAGCGTAGGCATTATCAGCGGCTCCGGCAGGCCACATCTATCCTGCAGCGGTACACCAGAGGAACCCTGGCCCGAAGGTAAGTTTAGAGTGACCTAAAGAAGAACATGAGTTTTTTTGGTCTCATGCTAATTATTTACTTTGTTCTTATATATCTTTTTGTATATTTTTTAATCTAATTGGAAGTATGTACTTTAATGTTATCCGATCAGGTTGGCGTGGACCCTTCGTTATACACGTGCTGCTTTAATCATCCAGAAAACATACCGCATGCTGGCTGTGCGACAGCTTTATCTGACCATCAGAGGGGCCACCATTAAAATCCAGGCCTTCATCAGAGGAACCAAGGCTCGTCGCATTTATTCACAGGTACAGATAATGAAATCAAAATTTACAATGTTTTTTTTGCTAGCACACATTATTATACTTGGGCGAGGCAGTGGCGCAGTAGGTAGAGCTGTCACCTCACAGCAAGAAGGTCGCTGGTTCGAACCTTGGCTCAGTTGGCATTTCTGTCTGGAGTTTGCATGTTCTCCCTGCCTTCGCGTGGGTTTCCTCCGGGTGCTCTGGTTTCCCCCACAGTCTAAAGACATGCGGTACAGGTGAATTGGGTAGGCTAAATTGTCTGTAGTGTATGAGTGTGTATGTGAATGTGTGTGTGGATGTTTCCTGGAGATGGGTTGCGGCTGGAAAGGCATTTGCTGCGTAAAAACTTGCTGGATAAGTTGGTGGTTCATTCTGCTGTAGCGACCCCGGATTTATGGAGGGACTAAGCCGACAAGAAAATGATGATAAACATTATTATACTTTAGGTTAACAATCGGTTAATTCACTGAATTTGTTTTAGTTTTCAAGGTTTGACCATTTGCTTCTGCAATCGAAGTGGCGGTCTTTCTCTGTTGATGTCAGTTTAATGGCTTCAGCCACAATATTCTTAACCATGCCCCTTTTACCTTTAGCTTGCTCCAAGGGAATGACGAGTAAAAAAAAAAGCCCAACATCCTACTCAATATTCCATTTCAGTTGGAAGTACATCAACATACTAAAATAAAAAGTCTCAGCCACTTCCGTTTCAAGTTGACTTTAATGGTGTGTGTCAGGATAGTTATGTTTGCCTGAAAAAGCCAACATACTTTTTTACCACATAAACTTCTTCTTCTTTTCTTCTACTTCTGAGACTAATTTCTATATGCATCTCCCCCTAGACTGTTCAAGCTACAAACACCAAACTTACTACAGACCTCCAAACTGGTCTGACTCGGGTTGCTATATCTTTTTCAACTGATCCGACTTACGGCTATCCTAAAACTGACCTGGAAAATTCGGAAAAGTCCCATTGACTTAACATTGGCCCAAACATAGTAAGTTCATAACTTTGCGTCAGACTGTCCTAGAGACCTAAGGTTGGGCTCATTTACCTCAGATTACCAATCTGCCAATCACTGATGACTTTTCAACTTACTAGCCACACCCTAGCAACCACTTACGGCACCCTTGCAATTGTCCCATAGACTTTAATAAAAAAAAAATTACATTGACTTTACATTGGACTTACAGATGTACAATGTGTTCCTTGTGCCGCCATTCATGCCGCGGCGACGGCGGTACTTGATGCGCTAGCAGCATTTGACCGCTGGGTGGCACTTTAACCACAGATATTCAGCTTTGCCTTTTCACAATGCTAAACAGACTGTTCTGTAGGCGTAGCTTACTGTATGTGATGTGATGTGTTCAATTAAAATATAATTTTAATTTAGTTTTTTTCTGGTAATAGACATGCTCTTACACTATACTATGCTGCAGAAAAGATACATGGTGAGAAGTCAAAAAGCAAATATAAGAATTAAGTTATTAGCCTTCAGTGCCCGATTAAATTGCGTTGGGGTGAAAATAATGTTTTGATTTCTTTGACTATCATGGCAATGTTATTATCTCAAATCTTAAACGTGCGCATATAAAAAACAGCAAAATAATATAGATTATTCTGCCGGTAGAGCACATCACCTCACAGTTGTGAACTTGCGATCACCTCAACTTACATTTAAAATTTGTTTACCTGGTTTATTGTAAACTTTTTAAGTGCAAAGAGGATTCGTTTTGGAAAATAGAATTGAAGAAATGAAAGACAACTTAAGTGAAAGCATAAACATTCAGTACAAATAAGTAGTCTTAAATAAATAAATAATAAAAAAAATAAATAAATAAATAAATAAAGCAGTCTTTTAGTCTAAATATAGAGAGATGTAGTTTGCTATTTTGATAGGACTAAGACAAGATATTTTCATTTATGTTTTTAATTTACGTTTTTATTTACATTTTCGTTGTTGATTATATTTTACTATCTCATTTTATGTTTAAATTATAGTACATAATAATAAACGAATAATGAAAATAAATAAATAATGAAAATAGGACATAAATTAAGTCTGGCAGGTTTATTTTTAATAATTTAGTTTCAGTTCCGTTTTTTTGTTTCAAAACGTCAATGTTCTGCTTTAAAGTATAACTGTTTTGTTTTGTTTTTTTACTTAATGGCTCAGTAAGTTTTGTATTTTAATTTCATATTCAGTCACCTTGCATATGCGTGTGAAATATAATGCCGCATAACCGCGGAAAAAGAAGAAAAGGCTGTCAGTTAAAGCTAATCAAAATTAGCTATATTAAAATACAGCATTTATGTTAATACAGGCAGAGTGTGAACAAACTCAAGGCTAAGATATGCGCTTGTTTTTTTAATGCATTTAAAAATAAATGCTATATAAATAAATGTTTTTTTTTTTTACTTTTTTTGTATGGTAAAGGACAATGCACATTATGTTATTGATGTAAACTTAGGCTAAAACTTACCATTGATAAACGTGACCTACCTCAAGCAGATCACTTAAAGTGTAATAAAAATAATGTTGCCGCAGGACATAAACGAAGTCCCGCAAGTTTATTTTTAATAATTTAGTTTCAGTACTATTAACTTTTTTTTTTCTCAAAACATCAATAGCACGTTCAATAATCTAAACATTAAAGATAGACCGCAAGATGTGTTGAGTGGCTATATGTGGTGAAGAACGATGGCAAAGCTAAGTGTGATTATTGTAATAAACTAATAAGTTATAAAGCAGAGAGTCCCGACCAACAGGACTGACTTAGCATATGCGGTTGGCTCATTCTTCACGAATATAGAATTAAAATAATGGCGCGTTAGGTTCATTGTGCATCCCGCAGGTGCAACCAACAAGGTTTGTGCATTTTAGTTTAACTTTTTTGAGCGTTATAAGCAGCTCGGTGTTAGTTTTTAATTAAATATATCGAGCCGAAACTAAGCAGCGCATTCTCTCCGCCTCCTCCTTTATAACCAGCGGGACACGCTACTGAAGCAGGAGAGACACTCCGTCGTTCATAATCTTAGCTGATGTGTCGGAGTCGAAAGAATATATCAAAGAGGAATGTTCTTTTTACAGTGCCGATATGTTTAATCTTTTTTTCCCTGTCATTTCTCTTCAGCAAATTATATTTTTAAAGCTGCTTGATTCTTTTAAAACCGAAAGCAGAGCCCGTCAATTGGTGTTTAGATATAAAGATACTCCTTTATTAATGTTTTATTTTATGAGTGTCTTTAATGTGCTTTTTAATAGTTTTATTTTATTCAAAGCAGCGCCTAAAAGCGAATTTATCCTCAAATCGTGGCATATGAGAGCGATGTCATGTCGCATATATTGCCTTTTTTTCTGATGTTTTCTGATGTTTTTTCTGATGTTTTTGCATAAAGGTTTTAATCAAAAGACAGGTAATTTAATTACTTTCGATGTGCTAAAATATTTGTTAAATAAATGTTATTTAAAAAAGGCATATGCAATGTGCTCTGACGGGTAAAATCAGATTCTTTCTCTCTTTCAAGTTCAAAGCAAATTTGAATGCCAAAGGATTTTAGATGCATATACAAGACTATATGTAGTATATTAACATCAACAAATTAATAAAATAAGTAGCAAATGAGAAATAAATGACAGACAAGTTGATAAAAACAGACATTATCTCTAAAAGTTATCAGAATTGCAAGATTAAAACAGCTGAATATAGGCCTAAAATAAATCTAGAAAGCTTGCGCACTGATATTTATTCTTTTTTTTTTCGAATAACGAACAATTTCAACCACGGGGAGATACCGACAGCTTGATTTGCAGTATTTTCTAACATGTTAGAAGAGGGCAGCGGACATGGCTGCCGGTGGGGAAGCGGCTGTGCCCTCAGCAGCTGATTGAGACGGAGCTGCATATCAAGTGCACTAAATACTCCGAGACAGGCACGTGCACACATAGGGCTCAACCTGTGCAGTGCACATGCCCTTTTTAGTCTTGGATAGAAAGTGCCCTTCCAAAATGATCAAAAGTGCCCCCGCGACGCGGCACACCCTCGGTCCCGCCCTTCAGTAGGCGCGCAACAACACCGCTCTTGACAACACCACGTCAACACCGCTCTTCAGTACTCGCGCAACAACAACCCCCAACCCCTAAATAGCCTAGGCAACAAATAAATAGTAGTCTAATAATAACAAAAAATGCCCTTTTCATTTTCATACAATAGGCCTATGTGTGGGTTTTGACAATATGTGTTTAATTAAGCTATAAAGATTTGCCTATCAGATGAAGTGCATAGTAAAATATGAAATAAATGTCTCTTTTGCTGAATATTTAATTAATCTATATATTTAATATTTTAAAAATCAACTCCTTTTTGCCCAGAGAAAGAGGCGCGCGGCACTAGCGGACATGGGGTGCTTTCCCAAAAAAAAGACGTACAGTAACTTGCGGCTGAACTATGCACAGTTTGGGGAAAAAAAGGATATAGTGATGCATGTTTCCCAAAACCCCTAGTTTCTCTGTCGCAGATCCATCATTTGAATCACGTTATAAGTAAAACGCACATAATGATAAAGCACACCATCATCACGAGGGCAATTAAATAAAGACAACCTAAACATATTTTTAATTGTTTATTTATGTAATGTGAGTTTTTATAACTTTGTTCTTTAAATTATTTCAATATAACTTAGGCTATTCTATCGTGATGACACCATAAAAGGCCTTCAATGCATTGATATAGGTAATAGGGATACAATGAAAAGCCGATTTCACTATTGACCCTGTTTTTATTCATTGCCGGCTTCTTAACGCCGCAATTCTGTTGCGCGAAAAAAAGCTGCTGCAAATAAGCAAATTTATGACAATACACATTTAATAGTTTCATGAAAGTAGTAGCTGGTGTGCTTCATCTGCGTGATTCTGATTTGACATTCTTCCGCTAAACTTGGTCTGTGTTGAGGTGTGAATGGGCTGTGCTCTTTGCTATTGAGGCTAAGACATCAGGTGTAAATGAGCTATAGTTCTCTTTGCAACTTTCAATTTTGAGGTGGGGGAAGTGGGAAGAGGCAATTCAAATGTACCATCTCTAAAAATAAAAAGGTCGCTTACGCGGAATTTGTGTTTAAAGATTATTACCTTATTTTTATTTTATTATTATTAATTTATTCATTCATTCTTCATTCATTTTCTTTTCGGTTTAGTCCCTTTATTAGTCTGTGATCGCCACAGCGGAATGAACCGTCAACTTATCCAGCATATGTTTTACGCAGTGGATGGCTTCGGGACGGAGTGAAAGGAAAGGCGGAATTTGCCCCGAGTCTGGGAAAGATGGCTTGCCGTAATTACAATAGTTTTCCTATCGCACACATGTGCCAAACACATAAACAAATAAATAAAAAAGGGAAAGAAAACATCTAGCCTTGAGGTCTTTTTGCTTATAATCGCCCTTATGTTTCCGTTTTAAATGTAAGGCTGTTGCATAAAATAATACAATTTTAATTTATAAGTTACTTTGCTGCGTCCCCCTTGATGTTTCAATAACGCATAATAATCTACACACCATATTAAAGACACAGCAGACATAAAGGTTGTGTGTGAGAGCCCGAGCAAAAAAGGATCAGAAATTGATCACGCACGCACAGGAAAAAAGGCAATTATGCAACACATGACATGCATCGCTCTCAATTGACGGGCTCTGCTTTCTGTTTTAACATAATCAAGCAGCTTAAAAAATAATTTGATGAAGAGAAATGACAGGAAAAAAAGTAATAATAAAAAAAAAAAGATTAAACGTATCGGGACTGTTAAAAGAACATTCCTCTTTAATATATTCTTTCGACTCAGATACATCAGCTAAGATTATGAATGACGGAGTAGGCTATCTCTCCTGCTTGCCTCAGCAGCGTGTGTCCAGCTGGTTATGAACGAGGAGGCGGAGAGAATGCGCTGTTTAGTTTCGGTTTGATATAAAAACTAACACCGAACTGCTTATAACGCTCAAAAAGTTAAACTAAAATGCACAACCCTTGTTGGTTGCACCCGCAAGTTGTGTTATTTATATTTGTGGCTGTGAAGTTTATTAATATATATATATATATATATATATATATATATATATATATATTGAGATACTGAGCCATTACAAGTAAAAAAAACAACAACAAAAAAACTAAAATTTTACTTTAAAGAAGAACAGACGTTTTGAGAAAAAAACTGAACAGAACTGGAACTAAATTATTAAAACTAAACTTGCAGGACTTCGTTTATGTCCTGCGGCAACTTTATTTTTATAACACTTTTTTTTTTGCCCCGAGTCTGGGAAAGATGGCTTGCCGTCATTACACCGATCGCACACGAGTTACATGCGTCAAACACATAAATAAATAAATAAATAAATAAATAAATAAATAAATAAATAAATAAATAAGGGAAAGAAAACATCTAACCTTATTGACCTTATTCTCCGCAGACGAGCGGGCGCTGCCATTTGAATCTTTTTGGCACGAGACTTCCGGTCTCATTCACTTCCATTCATTTTTAGACATCAAAAACTGCTCGTTTCGCTGTTTGATGTTGCAAACTGATATTTCCTTGTTATATTATTCTACTTGTTCTGTGTAGTCATGCAAACATTTGTTTGTAGAGCAAGTAGTTTGACCGTTTTTTGTCGTTTATTATTCCTTGTCATTTCTCTCATAGGCGACTGAAACGGAAGTTCTAAGACAATCGCGAAAACGGGCGCACTTCCGCATTTGAGAATAAGGTCAATAGGCTGAGGTCTTTTTGCTTATAATCGCCCTTATGTTTCCGTTTTAAAGGCTGTTGCATAATACAAGTTTAATTTATAAGTGACTTTGTTGCGTCCCCTTGATGTTTCAATAACGCATAATAATCTATACACCATGTTAAAGACAACAGAAAGACATAAATCTTTACAAATTACCTGTCCCCTTTTGTAGACTCAAAACAAGTGTCAAATCTTGAAAAAATTGCCTGAGCCATATTAAAATATAATTTAAAGAATTATTATCGGATAAAACCGCATTAAATAAATAAACCAATATAAAACAAGCAAAAGCAAGCTATAACAGTTTAGGTATAGGTCTATGTAGCCTACATAAATGAAACCGTTAAAGTCAAATTAAACTTTCATTTTACAAGATATTTTTTTTAAAAGATTTTAGATATTTTCTAAAAACAATAAACACCAGAGAAAGTTTAAATAATTATATAGTGGTTACGATGATAATAATTAAATCGTTCAAACAGAGCATTTTTTGGGGAGAGTGAAAGTAGAATGATACCTTTTGATGAATTAGCTCTAACCTTTGACAGTTTTTTTTTCTTTCCGCGGTTATGCGTGCATTATATTTCAAATGCATATGCAAGGTGACTGAAATTGAAATTAAAATACAAAACATACTGGGCCATTAAGTAAAAAAACAAAACAACAGTTATACTTTAAAGAGAACTTTAAAGAGAACATTGTTGTTTTGAAACAAAAAAAATAACTGAAAACTATTAAAAATAAACCTGCGAGATATGTCCTGCGGCAAAATTATTTTATGAAGCAGTATTCAACTTAAGCTCTTTAGACCATGCGCCTGACCGTTTCTTAGTGTTTCACCACATGTCCTTAAATAGTACATAAGGCCTATTTTTACTATTTTTCATTATTCGTTTATTATTATGTACAATAATTGTGACATAAAATTAAATAGTAAAATATAATCAACAACGAAAATGTAAATAAAAAGGTAAATTAAAACATAAATGAAAAGGTCTTGTGTTAGTCCTACCAAAATAGCAAACACTGAAAATCTCTTTACATTTAGGCTAAAAGACTGCTTTAATTTTTTAATTTAGGCATACTTAGAATATTTGTACTGAATGTTTGTGCTTTCATATTAGTTGTCTTTAACTTCTTTAATTCTATTTTTCAAAAAGAATCCTCTTTGCACTTAAAAAGTTTAGAATAACAATAATTCGTGTTAACAAATTTTAAATGATTAATAAAGGAATTATAATGCTTTGACTTATTGTTTAATCTCATTTACAAGCACAATAGCATATTTAAGGCTGCTGTGTGGGCTATTTCTGTCGGTTCGCATCCCGTCCCTTTGCGCCCCCTGGCGGCTCATTCACAAACTGCGGTCATACACTAAAAACAAAGCGGCTCCTATTTCAAACGGCGGCGGTATATGACGCGGCGGTAATAGTCACTTTGAACTCTCACCTACTGTAGTAATAACATACCAATCTATACTAGCAATTTACTAATCCATACTAGAAACATACTAAACCATACTAAAAACATACTAGCAAACATGCTAATTCATACTATAAACATACTAGTGTTATGCTAATTCATATTAAATTCATGCTAACCTGCTAGTTTATTCAAGAAACATGCTAACAACATAATTCATACTAGAACCATGCTAACAACATGCTAATTTATGCTAGAAACATGTTAGCATAATGCTAATTTATACTAGAACCATGCAAATTTATGTTAGCAACTGCTTAGCAACCACTCAGAACAACTTTAAAACTACTTCAAACTTTTCAGACTAGACTTTATCAAGCCACCCAAAAGTTTGTCTACGAACTTTACTTTTTTAGTTACACGTTAACTTCCCTACATTCTGAGAGGGGTCTGGATGTAGACCTGGTGCAGTGCAATCTGAGCTGCATCCAATGCTTTTTAATGTGGTCACCCAACCACACCCCTAACCCTACCCCTAACAGTGACGTTACTCGGTTCATTTGAGTTCATTGTGTCTGATATTGCCATGCTAAGTGATGCAATCTCAGCTTGCATCATAAAGGCTGCATCCTGATACAATTTCTGAAAAATAAAACTAAACTAAATACTTAAAAGTGCAGTGTGCTTTATAAACCTGTTTTCTCTCTCTCTCTAGATGCTGACAGAGCGGGCAGTGGTGATCTTACAGGCACGGGTGCGAGGATGGCTGGCCCGGAGCAGCTACAGGCGCATTAGAGGCGCAGTGGTGCTCATGCAGTGTTGTGTTCGTAGAAGAGCAGCACGTAGAGAGCTGCTGCGTTTGCGTGCTGACGCTCGATCTGTGGAGAAGTACAGAGAACTTAATAAAGGCATGGAAGTCAAACTCATGCAGCTGCAGCTTCGAGCCGACCAACAGGTGAGAGGGTAAAAGAAAGAGGCAGTTGTAATGATGACATTTAATTTGTTAAAATGTGACACTGGAACACAATTTTTTTTAGAGACAATTTTCAGAATAAATAAGCTTATCGTGTTGTTTCAAAACCGTCGGATATAAAGTGGCACAGGAGGCGACTAAAAGTGACTTGTGAGTGTTTTTGTCTGTCAGGCAAGAGAAAGCGCATCCCTGAGGGAAACTCTTCAGACCGAGCGTGACGCTCACACCTCAGAGCTGGAGAATCTGCACTCCAGCCTTCTCAAACTGCAGAACCAGCTGAAGGAGAGCATAAACACAGCTCCTTTAGTCAGCCAAAAACAGGAGGAGGAGTGGAGGAGAGCTGAGGAGAAGGCCAAACAGGAGATTCTCCAGCTAACACAGGTGAGGTTACTGTTAAAGTAACACTCCAAAAAATCACTTATTTCACAGCAGAGTTAAACAGTTGAGTTTTACCATTTTTTAATCCATTGAGATGATCTTCGGGTTTGGCAGTAGCACTTTTGAGCTTAACTTAGCAAAATCACTGAATTGGATTTAGATCATTTGCATTTCACCTTAAAAAATCAAAAAGGAGCTTTGAGATTTTTTTTTCTATTTAAAGCTCTTCTGTAATTACATAATGTACTAAGACTGACAGAAAATTAAAATGAGCTATTTTCTACCTCAATATGGCTGCATAGTAGCATAGCATCCCACCTACTGCAGCCATGGTATGGCAGCAAATTTCATAGATGGTTTGCCAGCAAAACATTATTCTTAGAAAGTTCTCCAGAATGAGACAGTTCCCAGCCATATCAGCCTAGACAATATCAACATTTCCTTTTCTGTCGGTCTTAGTACACAATGCAACTGTAGAGGTGTTATGCTATGCTAAGCTAAGCTAAACGTTATCCTGCCAGACCAAGTTTAACTCTAGAGTGGTTGAGCCTGTTTCCAAAAAAAGTGGAGTGCTCCATTGACATCTGCCAATTTGATTTCGATATCCAACCATAAAATTATGGTTGTTCTGTTTTGGCATACTGACAATCAAAAGAACTGAAACAAATCATGTTGGACTATAAATAATTCATACGCATAGTGAAAACATTTAGTATTGTGCTGTATTTTTTGTCCATCATGAAAATAATTTGCTTAAATGTTATCTGTAATGAAGTTAACGATAAGCTCAGAATCTTAATGTGTTTTGTTGATACAAAGTATTTGATTTTTGTATTACCAGCAGTACAGTAATGTTCAACAGTCAGTAATATTGCTGCAGATATCGAGGTCTGCTGAAAGGAATTTGTTAATAAGTAGTCTTTTGATAGCGGATGAATGAACTGTAAGGAGAATTAGTTTTAAAATACTTTGATCTATGATTGTTTAACAGAAGTTACCACCATAATTCACAGTGTTGTTTATATTCATCAGTTCTGTTTCTTTACCTCTTTATTCCAGGAAATCCAAGCTCTGAGAGTTGACAGAGACTCTCTGCAGAAAGAGAGAGATAGTTTGGCTATTCGTTTACAGGATCAGGAAAAAGCTCAGGAGGGTAAATAGTTCAAATTTGTGCCTTCACCAATTCAGCTTATGTATTATTTTAATGTAATGTATTTAAATGTAATACATATTATAGAAGTAGCATTAATAAGATGTACAAAATACAGATAATATAAATGGCTTTTTGCTATAGTTTTTGGCATATTATTTAGGAATAAAAGCAGCAAATAAAAAGGTTATGGAAACAGGTATAAAAACAAAAATAACTTTGTTTACTGTTTTATAGCACATGCAAAAAATGTTTCAAATAAATGAAACCGCAAAAACACTTAAAACCACAATAGATAACACTTACACTTAGTTAATGCATTAACATCGATCATTATGATGATTGCAAAATATATTGTATTTTTGAATATCAGCGCATGTCTAGATTGGATTATTAAAGCAATAAAAAGTAAAGGAAAAAAGTGATTGAGACTGATTATTTGTGTGTTTCAGAGCGTAGGCAGCAGTCTGTAGATCAGGCAGATGCTTCAGTGCGAGCAGAGCTGGAAGAGGAGAGAAGGAGATACCAGAGTTTACTGAGAGAGTTTACAAGACTAGAGCAAAGATACGACAACCTCAGAGACATGAGCTTATTCACCACAAATGAGGTACATCTGCAATCACAATCTCACTCAGAGCTTTAAACCATGCATATATATATATATATATATGTATGTGTGTGTGTGTGTAAAATGTAATCTTTTGCATATTAAATTATTATAATAGTATAATTGTAATTGATATTATACATTTGTTTTTAAAATAAAAAAAAATCAATAGGTGCAAATTTCAGGATAAAACATGATGTAAAATATGTACAGTTGAATTATTAAAGCCCCTGAATTATTAGCCCCCCTGTTTATTTTCCCCCGCAATTTCTGTTTTATGGAGAGATTTTCTCAACACATTTGCAAACATAATAGTTTTAATAACTCATTTCTAATAACTGATTTATTTTAGCTTTTCCATGATAACAGTAAATAATATTTGACTAAATATTTTTCAAAACACTTCTGTACAGCTTAAAGGCTTAACTAGGTTAATTAGATTAAGTAGGCAAGTTAGGGTAATTAGGCAAGTTTTTGTAAAATGATGGTTTGTTCTGTAGCCTGGCGAAAAATATATAGCTTAAAGGGGCTAATAATTTTGACCCTAACATGGTTTTAAAAAAATTAAAAACTGTTTTTCTTCTTGCCGAAATAAAACAAATAAGAGTTTCTCCAGAAGAAAAACTATTATCAGACATACTGTGAACATTTCTTTGCTTTGTTAAAGATCATTTGGGAAATATAAAAAAAAAAAGAAAAAAATCAATGAGGGTTTATTAAATCTGACTTCAACTGTATATAAAGAAAATATGAAAATGTGATACTTTTAATAAAATCAGCTCTTGAAACAAAGTAGTATTACAGTACTATTAACAATAGAATATTTGTAATATTATGGATTTATATTTGTATAATAAACAAATCTGCAAATATATGTATACAAATATAACTGTATAAAGTATAGCTGTAATAAAGTACATAGTAATGATGATAATGCATGTTGTAAATAATCATAATATCATGTTGAATAAAGGTTATTATAAATATGAAATGATCAAAATATAAAGTTGTAAAAAATTATATGTAATTTTGTAAATTATATATATATATATATATAGTTGAAGTCATAATTATTAGCACCTCTTTGAATTTTTTTTTCTTTTCTTAAATGATGTTGAACAGAGCAAGGAAAATTTCACAGTATGTCTAATAATATTTTTATTCTGGTGAAAGTCTTACTTGTTTCATTTTTAGTTAGAATAAAAGCAGTTTTTAATTACAAAAAACATTTTAATATTTGGTTGCCATTTTTATTAAAAGTATATTATATTGTATATAATTCCTATTAAATGCAAGCGTATATATGTGTGCTTCCTCACAGCGTGCACGTGGACATCGACGAACAGATTCCACCGTGTCTTTAGAACCTCCTTCACTCGTCACATCACCGTTCTCCAGCTCACCCGTCTTCCCTTCACCCGAACAGGTCAGGAGGATCAGCGTAACATCACCCTCCGACAGGGGACGCTGGAGCCAAGAACATCCTCTGGTCAGAGTTCACATCCAAACTAGACAGGCTCTGCAAAATTTATTTTTTCATTTTTTCTCCTTAGGGGTAACAAAAAGTGCAAAGAAATACCTTTATAGAGATAAACTGTTGCAAAGCAGCCCAACTAGCATTAAGATGAATATGTAGATATATGCTGTGCTTTTTCCTTTACAGAGCACTTAAAGTGATAGTTCACCCAAAAATAAAGATTCTGTCATCATTTACTCACCCTATTCAAGTTTCTTTCTTCTGTTGAACAGAAATTAAGATGTTGGAAATCTGTAACCATTAAATTCCATGGTATTTGTTTATTCCTACCATGGAATGCAGTGGTTACAGGTTTTCAGCTTTCTTAAAAAATATGAATATGTGAACTATTCCTTTAAAATGGTGTAAACATTGGAAAAACATTGTCAGTACCATTTTTTTTAGAACAACTGCAACTTCAATTTCTACTGGAATGTCAAATGTACTTGCACATATATTAGTGCATGACTGATCATAGAGATTTTAGCAGCATGAAAACTTTTATTAGTTCCTAGAACCGTTGGCGAAGGTGCGTGCACTTGGCAGTGTTTGCATACTAGAAACTGAGAACAACGTTAGATATAAGAACACAATTTGTGAGAATAAAATTAGCTTCTAATGCAGAGTAGGGACTAGAAGAGCACAATAGGAACTAAAGTGATGAAAGGCAATTCACTGCTTGAGCAAATGAACACCATACTTTAAAGGAACACTCAATTTTTTTGAGATATAGGCTCCCACGGAGTTTTGCCAATTTTTAATATATTCAGCCAGTCTCTGGGTCTGGTGGGAGCAGTTTCAACTTAGCTTAGCCAAAATGTATTGAATCAGATTTGAACATAACACTGTACATCATTGGAAATCTATTAAAACTTAAAAAAAATTTTTTGATCATGATGCTAATGGTCTAATCCGATTCAATCATTTATGCTAAGCTAAATTAAAAGTACTCCTGCCAGACCCAGAGATCAGCTAAATGGGTTTAAAAATAGTAAAACTGAACTGTTTAACTCTAAAGCACGGGTGCCCAAACTTGGTCCTGGAGGGCCGATGTCCTGCAAAGTATAGTTCCAATTCCAATCAGACACACCTGAGCTAGCTAATCAAGCTTCTACTAGGCTTTCTAGAAACAGCCATGCAGGTGTGTTGAGGTAAGTTGGAGTTAAAATCTGCAGGACATAGGACCTCCAGGACTGAGTTTGGACATGCCTGCTCTAAAAAGAGTTGTAAAACAAGCCTGTTTGTTTAAAAGTGGAGTGTTCCCTCAAAAAGTTGCAGGACACATTCAGAAAAGAAACGTTAGCAGCGTTTACCTGTTGTCTTTGTCTGCAGTGTTGTGTTCTTTTCTACAAGCTGTCACAGGTGATTTAGTCCGTTTTTTTGCTCTTTAAATCCCAGAAGTCCATGTTTCATCTCCATTATCATAAAACCCAGAACACACAATGAAAACACAGCATCTATCACAGCGTCCACAGTTGATGATTTTGTTTTGCTTATGTAGCTTCAGAGTTTCTTCTGATGGTGTGCAAGCAACAAAGAAAATTGTCCAGGGGGAATTGCTCCTCTGAGACTGGTGTCCAGTTCCTATAACTGAGATTCCTGTACTTAGTGTGAAGCCCCTTTTTTATGAAATGACAACAGAAGAAATAGAGGTGGAGCTTCATAGCCACACCAACCTGTTACATCATCAGACCAATGGTAGTTAAAAGGTGCATTCACAAATTTTTTTCGAAGCCCTAAAGAGAACTCTAATGAGTTTTGTTTGGGCCTGTTATGTTAGAAACTATCTCAGTTTGGTTTTCAGTTTCAGTTAAAGCATATTGCGGCTTTTTATAAATCTAAAATGATGTTTAATAAATCCATAACTAAAAATGTCATAACTAGTAAATGAATATATACCGACAGAGCATGCTGATGGAGGATATGAGTGTTGCAAAGGATGCAGCTGAGAGGATGAAGAGCGAGGATTTCAGACATGCCTACGATGCTGTTCGTGTGGCCAACAAGTCAGTTTCCTTCTATATACTGGCACATTACCTTATGAAGTCATCAGTAATTAGCAGTAATGTTTATTTCTCCAGGTTTCTAGAGACGCAGCTGTTGTCTCAGAGAGCGCAGTGGGAGCAGGAGATTTCAGCTCTCAGGACGAATCTTCAGCAGCTACAAGACAGAGACACGCCTGGAGATCCTGACAAAAATGTAGCCAGTCTGTCGGAAACTACTGTTTGATGTTCTTTGGATTTTTTTGTTCAGTTGTTATTTTTTTTTCTTCGTGTATGTGTGTCTGAAGGATCTATTGGAGCAGGTGATGGTTCGAGAGCAGGAATGTGTCCGATTGCGGCGTGAGCTTAAGGAGCTGAAACATACCGTGAGCCTCAGGAGAATTCTGTCTTATTCAGGTCTGTGTAGCTCCAAAAAGTATTTTGACAACTAAAACATTATTTAAAAAAGTAGTTTTCCCAGTGGTGCTAGAGAATGGCTCTTTTGGAGTGTTCTTAAATAGTTTTTGTAGCATGAGGAACATTAAAGTCTGTGTGAAATCAAAATTTACAAAGTTTTTATTGCTAGCGCACATTGTTATTATTTAGGTAAACAATTAATCCATGCAAGTTATTTACACTAAAAAAAAATTGGTTTGGTAATCTTTAATCAAATTTGCTTCTCCATTTGGAGTGGTGGACCTACTCTGTTGACATCAGTTTGATGGCTTCAGCCACAATATTATCAACCACTCTTATTGTTAGTTTGCTACAAAAGAATGATGTTTCAGTTGAAAGTACATCAAGATACTGATAAAAAAAAGTCTCAGCAAATTCCAGTTTATGCTGACTTTAAAAATCATGAACCTTGAAAATGTTGTGTTATGGAAAGTTTCTGTGGTTGGTCTTGGATCTGTAGATTCAACAATATCCCATGGAAATTCCAATTTTTTTTATTCAGTATCTAATTCATATTAATTTGGAAGATTATTCGTACAATTTGCTCATCCCCAATGACATTTGGGTTTAGGGGTGGGGTTTGGGGGCATGTCTCCTTTTAAAAATCGTAAATTTGAATATGAATAAATTTGTTTAAATATGTATAAAATTATCAGCTTTTCGGACAATATGTAAAATAGTTATATTTCCTTGTGAGTTCTTGTGAGTTTGAGCTTGTAGATTAAATTGTAGACACTTAAAGATGTAAAATAGTTACGTGGCTGTTCCATCTCCTTCTCTTTCAGCCCGTCTCATACAGGTCTCCCGGGTGCTGTGGCGCCAACCCCCCCAACACAATTTCCTCATGAGTTTGAGCTTGTTGATTACAATGTATGCACTTAAAAATGTTGTTGGCAGTCTGTGTCATTGGAGAGTAAAAAAACTTGACTTTGGAAAAATGATTCTAAACACTAGCAAATTAGGTTTCTTCAGCTTTTAACATAAACAAAACCCTTTTAGCTATAAATAGAGCCTATTCCACAAATAACCGTGCTTAAAGTGATTTATAAAAGACCTTAATGGTGTTGTAAACTTTGTAATAAAAGTTTAGTTTCATTAATGATAGTATATTGGTGTATTTATATTTATATTAAAAATTTTACTCTATATTGTATATTAAAATCTGTTATTTATACATTATGTTATGTTATTTAGCAAAACTGATTTCCAAAGGATCTCTGTATTTTTTTCCATGACTGTATGTTTTGGATCACTCTCAGGTCTAGTCGTGGCCGAGTCTCAGGACCCAACATCTCCTTCTTCTCAGCGGAACCAGACGATCACTGGACTGCTGGAGTGCAGGAAAAAAGATGAGAGCAAACTGATCAAACACCTCATAACAGGTAAACGGCACTCACAACAGCTGGATTTATTTATGAATTCTGGCTGACTGACAGGAATGAATGTGTTTCTGTGGCAGACGTGCGAGCAGAGAGCGTCTTGTCTTCATCTCCTGGACTAGCGGCTCGGGTTTTGTTTCTGTGTGTGCGTCAGGTGGACTGCAGCGGAGATCAGGCACGGGTCAAGGGACTTTGCAGTGCTGTTGTGACCGGCATTAAAACTGCCCTGAAGGTGAAGGAGAATAATTTATGTTTATTATATTTTAAGCATCTCCATATTCAAGCAAACGAGAATAAGGAGAGTTCACACAAAATTGAACATTTGCTGGTTTTTTAACTCACTCTCAGGCCGTCCAATATTTATCTGGCTTTTTTATTCAGTAGAACAGTGAAGATGATTTTTATTTCGTTTTTTTGTTGAAATTGTGGATGTTGGTGGTTCTTAAAATGCAAGCCAACAGCAACCAGCACTTTGAGAGAAAAAATATATACAGGCAATGGCAAATTAATATGTGTCTCCTGATGATAAAGTGAAATGATCGGTCTAGGCCAGGGGTGCTCAAACTCAGTCCTGGAGGGCCGGTGTCCTGCATAGTTTAGTTCCGACCTCAATTAAACACACCTGAACCAGCTAATCAAACTCTTTATAGGTATACTAGAAACTTCCAGGCAGGTGTGTTGAAGAAAGTTGGAGCTAAACTATGCAGGACAACGAACCTTCAGGACCAAGTGTGGGCACCCCTGCTCTAGAGCACAAACCTCCAGTTGCATAACAAATATCAAAGGTAAAAGTAAAGGTAAAAATGGTCAGTCTGATTTATAAGACGTCGGTGTATCGTTTGATCTAGCTTGTATATGTTGTTTTTGACTCTCAAAGTGTTGACTTTGACTTAAATTTAATGAATAATCAAGAATGGTTTCAGCTAAAAAATCAGGGTATCACTTTATTTTCTACAGCCCTTTAATGCATCTTGTTGATTTTAAGTTACATTGCATCTACATGCCAACTAATTCTCATTAGATTATAAGTAGACTATTAGGTTGGAGTTGGGGTTAGGGTTAGTGTAAGTTGACATGTACTTGCAGAGTTTCTTATAGTCCGCTAAATGTCTGTTGAAGGAGCAGAATCAGCAGATAATAAGCAGACAGTCTACTAATAATTAAATAACAAGTAATTGGCAGCGACTACACCTTTAACTAGGTCTTCAGGCCTATACGCTTAAAACACACTACAATTTTTTGATAATTAAGACAAATAATATATATATATATATATATATATATATATATATATATATATATATATATATATATATATATATATATATATGTATGTGTGTGTGTGTATATATATATATATATAAACATAAACATAAAAAAGGGAACATAAACATAAAAAAGGGAAAATGTAGATTACAGATTACATTAAACTACAAAACCGATGAAATGCGACATTTAACCATTTTGAATGGTTGATGGTTAAATGAAGCTTATAATTAAAAATAAAAACTCATTAATCTGTATCTTAAAATATTTAATCATTGGGTGAAATCAATAATTGTTTTTTTTAAATAAATTTCAATAATTAAAATGATAATTCACACTAAAATTTTAATTTATAAGCTTCTTTCTTCTGGTGAACACAAAAGAAGATACTTTGAAGAATGTTGTAAGCCTGATTTCTATATAATGTTGGTTTTCTTTCTATAAAAAGTCAATGCCTTCCAATTTCAAACATTCTTCAAAATATCTTTGTTCAACAAACGAAAGAAGTTTGGAATCAGTTGAGGTGAGTAAATGATGACAAACTTTTGACTAAACTGTCCATTAAAGTTCAGCGCTAGTGTCAACCCACACCGTCAGGGCATTTTTCATTCATCCATTTCTTTCAGCTTAGTCTATTTATTCATCAGGAGTCACCACAGTGGAATGAACCGCCAACTTATCCAGCAAATGTTTTACACAGCGGATACCCTTCCAGCTGCAGCCCAGTACTGGGAAACACACACATACACTACAGCTAATTTAGTTTATTCAATTCACCCACACCACATGTCTTTGGACTGTGTGGAACACGTGAGCACCCGGAGGAAACCCACACGAACACGGGGATAATGTGCAAACTCCCCCAAAGAATTGCCAACCGACCCAGCTGACACTTGAGCCAGTGACCTTCTTGCTGTGAGGCAACAGTGCTAACCACTGAGCCATTGTGTCGCCCCCATCAGGGCATTAATTGTCTGTAAATATACTAACAGTATGTGTTTTGCTGTTGTAGAAACATGGCAATGATCTGGACATGACGGCTGTGTGGCTGAAGAACTCGTATGTGCTCAGAGACTTGCTGCTCCAGCACTCTCCCCGACAGGTCACACACACACAGTCTGTTCATTTGTGTGGTTCAGTGATAATGTGAGTGAACGTGCTGATTGTGTGTGTGGTGCAGGAGTCGAGGGGTTCAGAGGATCTGCTTCCTCTAGTGACGGATGTGCAGGAGTTTGTTCGAGCTCTCAGTGATCTGTGCATTCAGTCCTATCAGCAGCTGCTGTCCATCTCCGAGAGCCGCCTGCAGCCCATCATCAGTAAACACACACACACAAATGCACGCATGCATATAAACACACACATACAATTTTTACTCTACACTTGAAGTTACATTTTTTTGCCCTCCCAAATAATGTTTAACAGTAAATTTTCACAGTATTTCCTAGATTTTTTTCTTCTGGAGAAAGTCTTATTTGTTTTATTTCGGCTTGAATAAAAGCAGTTATTAATAAAACAATTTTTTTAGCCCTCTTAAGCTATATTGTTTTTAGATAGTCAACAGGACAAACCATTGTTATACAATAACCTGCCTATTTAACCTAATTAGGCTTAAATTCCACTTTAGGCAAAATACTAGTGTCTTGAAAAATATCAAGTAAATCATTATTTACTGTCCTCATGGCAAAAACAAAATAGATCACTTAGGCAACCATTTACAGCACCTTAGCAACTGTTTAGCAGCACATTACTAACCACCTAGAACACCCTAGCAACTGCCTAGCAACGCCTTTACAACAACCTATAACACTCTAGCAACAACCTAGCGACCACATAGTAACACCTTAGCAACCACCTAGCAACACCTTATCAACCATTCAGAACACCCTAGCAAATTGCCAAGCAACCACCTAGAATATCCAAGCAAACCACCTAACAAACACTAAGAACACCCTATCAACCTCCTAGCAACACCTTAGAAACCACCTAGCAACCACTCAGAACATCTTAGCAACTGCCTAGCAACCACTCAGAACACCTTTAGCAACCGCCTAGCAACACCTTAGCAACCTTTCAGAACATCCTAGCAATCACCTAGCAACCACCTAGAACACCATAGCTAACCACCTAACAACACCTTAGCAACCACTTAGAACACCCTAGCAACCACCAAGCAACCACTTAGAACACCCTATCAACCTACTAGCAATGCCTTAGAAACTGCCTTGCAACCACTCAGAACACCTTAGCAACTGCCTAGCAACCACTCAGAACACCCAAGCAACCGCCTAGCAACATCTTCGCAACCACATAAAACACAGTAACAATGCCTTAGCAACCACTCAGAACCTCCTAGCAACCGCCTAGCAACAACTAAGCAACCATTCAGAACATCCTAGCAATTGCCTAGCATTCACCTAGAACACCCAAGCTAACCCACCTAGTAACATCTTAGCAACCACTTAGACCACCCTAGTAACCACCTAGCAACCACTAGCAACACACTATCAACCTCCTAGCAACGCCTTAGAAACCACCCAGCTTCCACTCAGAACACCTTATCAACTGTCTAGCAACCACTGAGAATACCTTAGCAACCGCCTAGCAACATCTTAGCAACCACATAAAACACGCAAACAACGCCTTAGCAACCACTCAGAACATCCTAGCAGCCGTATAACAATGCCTTAGCAACCACCTAGCAACCACTCAGAACACCATAGCAACTACCTAGCAACACCTTAACAATGACCAGGAACATCCTAGCAACCGCCAAGCAACGCCTCAGCAACCACTCAGAACACCTTAGCAATTGCTTAGTAGTGCCTTAGCAACCACTCAAAACACCCTAGCAACACCCAAGCAATCACCTGGAACACCCTAGCAACTGCCTAGCAACGCCTTAGAAACTGCCTAGCAATCACTCAGAACACCTTAACAACGCCTTAGCAACTGCCTAACAACCACTCAGAACACCCTAGCAACCACATAAACCACCCTAACAATGCTTAGCAACCACTCAGAACACCCTAGCAACAGCATAGCAACGCCTTAGCAACCGCATAGTAACCACTCAGAACACCCTAGCAACTACCTAGTGACACCTTAACAATGACCTGGCATTCTAGCAACCGCCAGGCAAAGCCTTAGCAACCACTCAGAACACTGTAGCAGCACCTTAGCAACCACTCAGAATACAATATCCACCGTCTAGCAAGAATCATGCCAATCCATACTAGAAACATGCTAACATATACTTAGCAAATTATCTCTACTTCAAACTTTCAGACGAGGCTTTCTCAAGCCCCCATAAAGTTTGTCTACACACTTTACTTTTCTAGTTAATATTATAATATCACATTTACATATATTTTTTTAAATATAAGAGTGCACAGTATATTATATAATTCTGAATAATAATCCTAATCCTAAAGAATAAATATTAAAGACTTACATGTAAGTTTGTGCACCCATGCAGTCCCGGCGATGCTGGAGAGTGAGATGATTCCTGGTCTGGCTGGATCCTCAGTAAAGCTGAGCGCTGCTCGTAAGCGGGCCGGTTCAGATCCGCGTCCTCCAGGCGGTTCAGAAGGAGTCAGTATGTCCTCAGTCCTGCGGGAGCTTTCGGCCCTTCACACGGCCTTGTCCCGTCAACACCTGCCCTCCGTCCTGCAGGAACAGGCCTTTCACCAGCTCGTGTACCTGCTGTCCGCATCCACCCTCAACAGTCTGCTGCTGCGCAAGGACATGTGCTGCTGGAGCCGAGGCCTGCAGATCCGGTTTGTGCTATACGCCGCGCTCTTCACATAGTATTCAAAGTGTCCAAACTGACCTTTTTTATACTACAGGGCTCTTTAATGCTTTATTCTGATTGGCTGATGGACATTATGCTGCGTTACTATAATTTCGAGAGACAATATTGCTACCCAATTCACTTATATACTAACTGGCCACTTTATTAGGTACACCTGTCCAACTGCTCGTTAACGCAAATTTCTAATCAGCCAATCACATGGCAGCGACTCAATCCATTTAGGCATGTAGACATGGTCAAGACGATCTGCTGTAGAAACCGAGCATCAGAATGGTAAAGAAAGGTGATTTAAGTGACTTTGAACATGGCATGGCTGATGGTCTCAGTCAGGCTGGTCTGAGTATTTCAGAAACTGCTAATCTCAATCCATTAATAGGAATAGACAATGGCCCGAAAAAGAGAAAATATCCAGTGAGTGGCAGTTCTGTGGGCACAAATGCTTTGTTGATGCCAGAGGTCAGAGGAGAATGGCTAAACTGGTTCCAGCTGACAGAAAGGCAACAGTAACTCAAATTACCACTTGTTACAACCGAAGGTCTGCAGAAGAGCATCTCTGAATGCACAACACGTGTAACCTTGAGGCGGATGGGCTACAGCAGCAGAAAACCACACCAGGTGCCACAATGACATAAAAGCATGAACCAATCCTGCCTTGTATCAATGTTTTAGGCTGTTGGTGGTGGTGTAATGGTGTGGGGGATATTTTCTTGGCACACTTTGGGCCCATTAGTACCAACAACATCCCTTTATGACCACAGTGTACCATCTTCTGAAGGCTACTTCCAGCAAGATAACGTGCCATGTCATAAAGCGTGAATCAACTCAGACTGGTTTTTTCAACATGACAATGAGTTCACTGTACTCAAATGGCCTCTACAGTCACCAGATCTCAATCCAATAGAGCACCTTTGAGACATGGTGGAACAGGAGATTTGCATCATGGATGTGCAGCCGACAAATCTGCAGCAACAGCGTGATGCTATCATGTCAATATGGACCAAAATCTCTGGGGAATATTTCCAGTACCTTGTTGAATCTGTGCCTCGAAGGATTAAAGCAGTTCAGAAGCCAAAAGGGGGTCCAAACCGGTACTAGTAAGGTGTACCTAATAAAGTGGCCGGTGTACATTGCATCGTTTTGTGAAAAAAAAGCATACTTTTGTACTTTTTTGAGTGTACTTCACAACAGCATGCACAAAATCTGACCAATCAGAGCAGATCAGACTCTCAGGAAGTTTAAAAAGGCAAAACTCCTTAAACACCATTTCAGAAAAGGCTGATGCTGTACGGTGCATTATGATAGAAATGGAGTGTTTGTTGGTCTGATATGCTGCAGGTATAATGTGAGCGTGCTGGAGGAGTGGCTGCGGGCTCGTTCTCTTCAGACAGGAGGCGCTGTGGGGACTCTGGAGCCGCTGATACAGGCCGCACAGCTCCTGCAGATGAGCAAGAAGACTGAAGCGGACGCACAGGCCATGGTTCAAGCCTGCAGCGCACTGACTAACCAGCAGGTGGACACTCGCTTACACTACACTACAGCATCAGATTATTGCATGTTGCGGTTGAGTCAAGATTTAAGTGTGCTGCAGGTTTTGTTATCTGCGAGCCTCATGTTATATGTATAGACATGTTGCATATTCATGACTTATATTATATTTCTATTGTACAATGACTGTTTAACACACCCACGTCTACAGTTGAAGTCAGAATTATTAGCTCCTTTGTATATCCCCCCCCCCCCAAATTTCTTTACTAACGGTGTTTCAGATGGTGAAGATCTTGAGTCTGTACACACCTCAGAGTGATCTGGAGGAGCGAGTGACGCTCAACTTCATCCGTCTGGTTCAGGTGAGAGGAAGAGTCGGACTGTAGAAAGGTGTTCAGTTGTTGTTCAGAGCTGATGGAGAACACTCTTCTTCTTCCTCCTTTACAGGCTCTGCTGAAGGGCCGCTCGGAAGGTCCTCCTCAGCTGCTGCTGGACGTCCGGCGTGTGTTTCCTGTCACCTTCCCTCATGATCCTCCAGCGCAGGTCACCGCAGAGCAGATGCAGATCCCTGAGGCCCTCAAGATCAACTTCCTGCGCAGAGTCTGAACACACTGCTCCTACACCGCACACACACACACGTCTTTCTGCTTTGATCAATCAGGAAAGGCACTTTTACTTGTTATTCCAGCATTTCTTTTATGTTGTGTTGGGATCTTATTTTAGAAGATTTATTTTTAGCTTTTTGATATTCTCAACGTGTTACTCCCTTATTAATAATAGTAATAATAATAATAATAATAATAGTAAAATACATTTAAAGCATAACTATTTTACACTTGCTATTCGGGCAGAAATAAAATGTAATTTTGTCTTGTTGTACTACACTTGTTTGAATTTTTTTCAACATTTTTTAAAACAATAAATAAATAATTTGTTTTTAAATGAAATGTAATTATTTTTAAGCCTTTTATATTTGCACTTTGATATTTTTATGAAGGGGACACATATTAGTTGGATTACAAAGTCATGATTATTTGATCAATCTCTCTTAGAAATGTTTCAACTAATAATAAATCAGTATCTCTAAAGTTTTATAATCATGTTGCGCATGTACATTTTCTTAATAAATATTATGTATAGTAACAATTGAAATATAATTGAGTTCTGCATCTACAGTTCAGTTTATTTGTGCATTTCAGTTTTTATATCAGTTTTAAATATTAACTATACACCTTAAATGACAAACACATTTTAAAAGGTTACATACACAACAATGTAGAAAAAGTGTGTGTGTGTGTGTGTGTGTATCCTTCCATCCATCCAATTATCCGTTTTCTTTTTCTTTCTTTCCATCCATCCATCCATTCATCCATCCATCCATCCATCCATACATCCATCTGTCACTCTGCCCATCCATCCATCCATCCATTTGTATTGTATCTATTTGTTTTTTATCCATCCATCCATCCATCCATCTTTTCTTTCTATCCTCTATCCATTAATTTGTTTTCCATCCATCTGTCCATTTTCTTTTTTATCTATGCATCCATCCATCCATCTGTTTTCTATTTGTTTTTCATCCATCCATCCATCCATCCATCCATCCATCTGTTTTCTATTTGTTTTTCATCCATCCATCCGTCTGTTTTCTATTTGTTTTTCATCCATCCATCCATCCATCCATCTTTTCTTTCTATCGTCTATCCATTCATTTGTTTTCCATCCATCTGTCCATTTTCTTTTTTATCTATGCATCCATCCATCCATCCATCTGTTTTCTATTTGTTTTTCATCCATCCATACATCCATCCATCCATCCATCCTTCCATCCATCTGTTTTCTTTCTATCCATCTATCTATTCATCCATCCATCCGTTTTCTTTCTGTCCATCTATCTATCTATTCATCCATCCATCTGTTTTCTTTCTAAATATCCATCAATCCTTCCATCCTATTATTTTTCATACATTCATGTTTTCTATCTATTTGTTTTATATATATCCATAAATCCATCTGTTTTCTTTCTATCTTTCCATCCATCCATCTACCTGTTTTTCACTATCTATCCTTACATCCATCTGTCTAACTGTTTTCTTTCAATCCTCTATCCATTCATTTGTTTTCCATCCATCCATCCATTTTCTTTTTTATCTATGCATCCATCCATCCGTTTTCTATTTGTTTTTCATCCATCCATCTGTTTTCTTTCTATCCTCTATCCATTTATTTGTTTTTCATCCATCCACCCATCCAATTTTTCTATCCATCCATCCATCCATCCATCCGTTTTCTTTCTATCCATTCATCCATCCATCTGTTTTCTTTCTAAATATCCATCAATCCTTCCATCCTATTATTTTTCATACATTCATATGTTTTCTATCTATTTGTTTTATATATATCCATAAATCCATCTGTTTTCTTTCTATCTTTCCATCCATCCATCTACCTGTTTTTACTACCTATCCTTACATTCATCTATCTAACTGTTTTCTTTCAATCCTCTATCCATTCATTTGTTTTCCATCCATCAATCCATTTTCTTTCTATCTATGCATCCTCCCATCATCTGTTTTCTATCTATCCATCCATCCATCCATCTGTTTTCTTTCTATCTCTCCAACCATTCGTCTATCTATCTGTTTTCTTTCTATTATCCATCCATCCATCCATTTATTTCTATTGTATCTATTTGTTTTTCATCCATCCGTCCATCCATCCATCTTTTCTTTCTATCCTCTATCCATTAATTTGTTTTCCATCCATCTGTCCATTTTCTTTTTTATCTATGCATCCATCCATCCATCCGTTTTCTATTTGTTTTTCATCCATCCGTCTGTTTTCTTTCTATCCTCTATCCATTTATTTGTTTTTCATCCATCCACCCATCCAATTTTTCTATCCATCCATCCATCCATCCATCCATCCATCCATTTTCTTTCTATCCATCTATCTATTCATCCATCCATCTGTTTTCTTTCTATCTTTCCATCCATCCATCTACCTGTTTTTTTACTATGTATCCATACATCCATCTATCTATCTGTTTTCTTTCAATCCTCTATCCATTCATTTGTTTTCCATCCATCCATCCATTTTCTTTATATCTATGCATCCTCCCATCATCTGTTTTCCATCCATCCATCCGTCTGTTTTCTTTCTATCTCTCCAACCATTCGTCTATCTATCTGTTTTCTTTCTGTTTGTCCACCAATCCATCCATCCATCCATCCATCTGTTTTCTTTCTATCTCTCCAACCATTTGTCTATCTATCTGTTTTCTTTCTGTTTATCTATCCATCCATCCATCCATTTGTATTGTATCTATTTGTTTTTCATCCATCCGTCAGTCCATCCATCTTTTCTTTCTATCCTCTATCCATTCATTTGTTTTCCATCCATCCATCCATTTTCTTTTTTATCTATGCATCCATTATCTATTTGTTTTTATCCATCCATCTATCTGTTTTCTTTCTATCCTCTATCCATTTATTTGTTTTTCATCCATCCACCCATCCAATTTTTCCATCCATCCATCCATTCGTTTTCTTTCTATCCATCTATCTATTCCTCTATCCATCTGTTTTCTTTCTAAATATCCATCAATCCTTCCATCCTATTATTTTTCATATATTAATATGTTTTCTATCTATTTGTTTTATATATATCCATAAATCCATCTGTTTTCTTTCAATCCTCTATCCATTAATTTGTTTTCCATCCATCCATCCATTTTATTTCTATCTATGCATCCTCCCATCATCTGTTTTCTATCTATCCATCCATCCATCCATCCATCCATCTATCCATCTGTTTTCTTTCTATCTCTCCAACCATTCGTCTATCTATCTGTTTTCTTTCTATTTATTCATCCATCCATCTGTTTGTTTTCCATCAATCTATTTTTTTCTATCTATCTATCTATCTATCTATCTATCTATCTATCTATCTATCTATCTATCTATCTATCTATCTATCTATCTATCTATCTATCTATCTATCTATCTATCTATCTATCTATCTATCTAGATGAACATTACATTTCATTTGTTCTGAATATAGAAAGAGTTTATAAAGTTATCAAAGACATTTTGTTTCAAATAATTATAAAACCCTAATATATTTCATTCTAAACATAAACGTGAAATAAAAGTTCATTACACAATTCATTTTTTAACCATTTATTGGAAGTAGAAACAAACCAAGGCTGGCCTGTGTTTTACCTCCATCCCCGATAAGAACGATCATATTTAGCAAAACGAAAATTAGAAACATCTTCGTATAAAAAAACCTCTCATGCTAGTACAGTCTGTACCACTACACATCAGTAATACATATTTATATATTCACAAGCCTTCCAAAAATAGAAAATAATACCCAAATATCAAAATAAACTGAAAGAAAAATCAGACGACGATTGAATATCACACCAAAGATACATGCTGGCACAAGAAGAATCTTTCCCAACATGCACTGCTTCTTATATACAGGCAACGAGTGGCTGTTTTGTGGTATTGGGCGCAGTGTGAATGACATGCTGTAATATTATTACTCAAACACAACAATACACAGCTTTATATTTGAAATCCTATCACATCATGCCAGCATTGTCCAGTCCGCAGTCAATTCAACATTCATTAACATTATTTCCTGTGGTTCAATATTACAGCAGTGAACGGAAGAAAACAAAAATAATACACATTTGCAGCTTCTATTACTCACAATGTAAACAATAATGATTTTGACTCATAGAACAGATGCATAGACTATTCGTAGAGAAATAAATATGGAGAAAAGCGGGTAAAAATTGTAGTAAAAGGTGGTTGAAAAGTTAGTTGACGTCAAAATGAAAAGTCAGTCATCGTTTTAATGAAATCTGGAGATTTCCGTGAATCCATCAACAGTTTGTTCACTCAAAGTAACGCTTCAAAATGTTCAGAGAGATCACAAATGATATAAATATGAATTGATCTGTTTAATTGAGTCCCAAAATGCCACCTGCAGCCAATCAGCAGTAAGGGGCGTGTCTTGTAACTACATTGGACATAAAAAGGGATGTGGTCTTATTGGGCAATCAGCTTGTTAGGTGTGACGTCACGTGAAGTGGCTTCCGGGTCCAAGCACTCTATCAAACTGTAAGAGGAGACTCAAAAAATGGTAAAAATAAACATTTACAAAGTGATGTAATACTTTCGAAAGTCACGATCACAAAATATATATCCATGCCTAATATCCGATGACCAGAAAGTGATACAGTTTTTATAAATTGTTAAACTACATGTGTCTGTGATGCAGCAAGTCCAACAGAGACTGTTGTGTACGCCATGATTTTATATAAAATTCACTTTATTGGTCATAAACGAATATTTTCTCAATTCAGTTGAGTAGCGGCTTGGACCCAGAATCAGTATTGCATACGTCACAACTTATCAAGCGGATGGGCATCTTTGTATTGGTGCTTTCAAGTATGAACATTGTTACGGAAATTTTGCTTAGTGCATCTTTATGTTTTTTTCATTTTCTGGTTTACACGCTATTTTAACAGTTAAAATAATTTGTAATAATCAGAAAGCATGTTCAATTGAAATCACGAAGAAACCTAATTTAATAGATTATTCTGATTGTAAGAGTGGATTCCTGAATTAAACCGCTTTCACTTTAAGATTAAACACTCTTTAAACTAACCCCAGGATAGACAAAATCAATGTCAAAGATCTAGCGGAAACTGCCTAGCATTGCTTGCGTCTGCTCTAAAAGGCTGCGCGTGAACAAACCTAAAGCACAACAGCCGACTAAAACAAACATTTTGCGCCTGCATGTTATGGTGTACCTCTCCATACCTGCAGGTGGCAGTATCTGTATTGTCATTCCACAAAGGAAATGTAAACAAAGCAGAATTTACATTTCATCGCTCAACATGGAGGGATACATGTCTGATAATCTGATAGTCCATATTATTTTATAAATATTTAAGAAATCCATCGAAATAACAGTTGGCTTCTTTGTGTTTCTTCTTGGAATGTGCCGTTTGCTCAAAGGCTGAGTGTCGGTTTGGTGTGTCCCGGGCTTCAGCAACATTTTGAAGCATTAAAGTAAGTAGTCTTTCAATGGATGGACAGAAATCACTCATATTTCATAAACTTGGCTTCATTAGTGTTCAGAAGATGTAAGTCTTCAACATGAAACTGAGGTAACAATGAACAAAAACTGAACGAATCCTTCAGTGATTCAACTAATAATCATTAATTCAATCGTCTCACCTTATATTTTTACAAGAAGACCGACAACATGGCTAGTCTTTGCCATTTAGCACAATAGAGCATGGAATTACCACTATAGGGCATTTATCCGACTTTATAAAGCGATTCCCTTGTGCTTGTCTAAAATGGTGGATGATTTGGCAGTAAAATGGCAGGATTCATCAACAGTGGCGATGGCAAATCTACACAACTGTGATTCTTTTGAAGTGTGAAACCAGAGATTGCTTTAGTGGATTTGCAGACGGGGGAAAAAAGGCCCCATTTGCATGACACGGTCTGACATTTCAATGTGATTCTATAAAGTGAGATTTCACTGAAACAGGCAGCTCTGGTGTCTAATACAAGCAGTGTTTGTCAGTCTAGACTTGCACATATACATCGTAGAAACCGTAGTGCCTTATCATGCCAACAAACACTGGATAAACCGCACAGGCACTCAAAACATGAACAGATCGGAAAACATACACAAAAGACAGGACAGAGGAGGCCCTGTGATTGAATCAAGATCATCTTTACAAAGTGTTAGTATCTTGTAGTCTTACGACAAGCGTCATTTGTAGGATTTCCTGCAAACCTCTTCCCATTGTCGTTCAACAGGAAAAGCAACCACTCTGCTTTCAGAGGTCTATTTGGTTGTAGGTCTATTTTTTCGCAATTTTTTTTCTTGTGCTTTTAAATAATTGCATAATGTTTGACCCATAGGGGGTTTTGGTCCCTATTAAGAAGGATAGGGGTGAAATGGTTGATATGCAGTGGAGAAACGATACCCTGACATTAACACACCCTTTACTGGGCGTAGGAATGATCGACAAAAGGCCGCACAAAATAGGTTTTCGACATCATTACATGAAAGAAAAAATAGTGTTTGACAAATCATGGCACTGTGTAGCACTCTGTTGTGTTTACATGCCTTAATCTGGTTTTATTTCATAGACACATTTGCAAAAAAAAATCTTAATATAATAAATATAAATATACTTTTAACATAGATTCTTTATTATTACTTTTTTTATTATTATAATTTGAAATAGATTTTATTTTTAAATAATATTAGATTTATATTTTGAGATGTGTGAGCAAATATTTAATATGTTTTTTTTTTTGCGGAATAAATAGATAAATATGTATTATATTTAAGTATCTTTTGGCAGGTTTTCTTGGAATATGCATTATAAAAATCAAGGTCATCACAAACATCAAGTATTTAAGAGATACAATATCATGTGTCTGTTTCATGTGCCAAATTGTGCTTGTTAAACAAGCCCTTACTGGCAGGTCTAATGGCAGTGCACTGAATACAAATATATAACTGCTTTGTCACGTAAACGGTTGGTCATTAAAGTGAAGAACCAAAGATGTCTTTTTTCTATGCTCTAGTGCAACATCTGAACAACAGGGGGCAGTGTTTACGCCAAAATTACCATGTCTCGCTAGCTACTTCCTGGTCTTAGCTCCGCCCCTCCTCAGCAGATCGCTGGTCAGATTTGAGCTTGACAAATTCTTTCGCAACATCATCGTTGTTGCGCTGGGACAGGATTCGTAGAACTGTCAGGCCGGTTTCGTCCATGTGAATACGTTTACCTAGCGGTAGCCAGCATGCTACGCTACCTCGTGGTGCTACATCCTTCAGCTGCAGTACTGCCATGCCAACGGTGCGGTCCTCTCGTGCGAAGCAGTAGTCTTTCACACACACCTGAAGCTCGTAGCATTCCGGACCCACTTCGTTACTCAGCGTGCTTTGTGAAAGAAGCAGTGACACCAGGAGTTATGGTTTATTCAGGACGTGTAATGTTGAAAAATTGCAAGAAACAAGTATAGGTCACTTACAATGTGAAGGTCTCATTGTATTTTGGAGCCCAGCTGTTGTTCTTGGACTTGGTGGCGTACTTCCTCTTCTTATCGCTGAGATGAGGGCCAATGATGTAGACTTCCACAAAGGGCCGGAAAATTCCAGAAGTCTGCCACCGTAGGTCATTTGCAGCCACCACTATAAAAAAATGTTTTTTTACACATATTTAACTTGCATCTCATTACATAATCAAAAACCAGAAGTACCAATCAATCACAGATTGTACAGAAAGTTACATTTATGGCAATACAGCAAGTAACTAGGGCAGTACTCTTCTTTGTACCCCTACAAGGTTCTCAGTATTACCGTAAGGGTATGAACCTTTTAAGGGTACATTTTGATTTCCCTTTTTGAAAAAAGGCAAGTCCTCTGAGGAACCAGTAAGTCAATGCAAGAATATCAGTGACCTTAACAGCAGCCCAACTTTGCTGGAAATGTTTTGAGGCACTTGACAAAGGTTTCTAGATGATTTTCAAAAGGTTACATCAGCGTGGTGATGCGAGGAATTAAAATGGTACCTTTAACTTTTTACAATGTAGGCACTCTACTGATATTATAAATCTACTTGTTCATTTGAGGTACCTAACAAAACAAGCTAATTCTAGAAACCTCAATAGCAGAGATGAGAAAACCTAGTGTAGACTCCGCTTGATCCTTCTTGCTGAGGATCTGTTCCAGCTTGAGGGACCGTTTCGGGTTTTGCAGATGCATACACAAAGAGAAACTATTTTGAAGTTTGACAAAGGTTTACTGAAGAACTTACAAGAGGAAACCAGGAACTTATAAGAACTCTCCAGCGAATGTCAAAAGCTCTTTTAGTAACCCTACTTGATATGGCTTTCTGGAAGTTCCTGCTAGGGATTCCATGGTGACTAACACCATTTTTATCATGAAGGCAATGGTTCCCTAACTCTGTCCTTCCAGGACCACTGTCTTGTAGTGTTTAGCTCCAACCCCAGTTAAACACATGAACAAGCTCATGATAGTCATCAGGATTACTAGAGAGTTACAGGCAGGTGCATTAGCCACAATGGATTGCAGCTAAACTCTGCAGGATAATATACCAGAAGAGCAATGTTGACAAACCCATGTGTAGAACTTTCACAAGATATTTATCCTATTATACTGCAACATTTAAGCTACTTTGGAGACAATTTTGGGTCACTCAGATTGGTACAAAAGGGGACACATGGTTCAGCTTCATTAGCTATGAAACACACCTGCTTTCAGGATTACTTGAAAACCACTGGCAGGTATGTTGGATAAGAAGTGAAACCAAAGTTTGATGGATGTTGGTCCTTTAGGAATGGAGGTTGTTCAGAGGGTTTGAGCAGTGTAGAGATTCAAAATGCTGTTTCATTTTTTATAGTCTAGGTCATCGCATCTCAAATAAAAGATAAATAAGCTCTAAGAAGGACACAAGAACGTCTACAGTGCTGAATTATTAATCTTCATCCTTAATCAAACAACTAAAGAACATAACAACAGTTTTTGGGATCACTACAGTGTACAGGTAAATTTGGGTTGGTTAGTGCAATCGGACAAATGTCAAGTGTTTTGCACCGAGGATCTAGAGCAGACTTGCCCAATCCTGTTCCTGGAGATCTACCTTCCAGCAGAGTTGTTGTGGTATGTGGTAGCATCAATGATTTCTACATGAGTTCATAAGACTGCAAAAATCGCACTGTGTACTCCCAGCTTTGAAGAGGTAATCAAACCTCAAGCTTTACTCTTTAACCTCAAAAGCCACTACTTACCCTTTACTGTAACTTTGTGCTCTCCAGTATTAGGATGAGTGAAGATCTCCACATGGATAGATACTTCTCCAACTGCATCATCAACACCAGTACCTGCAGACAAGGCAGCGCAGGTCAACACTCCATTTCCAGCCTTGTAAGATAAGTGTGCATCATATACTTGCATCAGTATGGCTCAATGGAACTTATAATCAGTGCCTTAATAGATTCAGTAACCAGCAGAGTCATACAGAGGCAATGTATGCTTTGAGCTGACAGGATAGCACAGAGGTTTAAACAGTGTAAGAGTGTTGAACCTTGGATTCAGAGATTATTAATAGTATGAAAAGGAACTCTTCAATGTTGGAGTACTTGTTAAATACAAACTCAGAGCTTATTTAAGTTTTGAATGAATTCAAAAGTGGACCTTTTATTTGCACAGTGCTTTAAAAGTTCAAAATGTATGATACCGAACGCACTGAGCTGAACAAATTTGACTTAACATAATTGAGGCGACACATTTATTACTTAAATAAGCCCCGAAAGTGATTGAACAAGCGATCCCGGCAACACATCTCTGGATCTGAATTTGTGAGGCTTGGTCAAGCATAAACATGGGTGAACTTTATTCCAGTGTCTGCGATCAATTTTCATGACTTGAAATAATTAATGAAATTAGCTTAAAATACACAGACAACCAAAATAAAGCAATGCCTCACAGGACTCTTCGGCAAACAAGTGTTTCAAATACAAAGAGACGTGTATCATGAGTGTACCATCTGCACACAGGCAGTGTGGGCACACTTGAGTTTCATGAAGGGTTTATAATCAGGATGGGGAGGGGGAGAGCAGTCCTATCGGTCCAGTCATTTATGGAAAGGAAAAGACAAGGAGAACATCTGCTACTGTATTTTACTTGGTTTCAGTGCAGGCAGGTACATGCGGAAAACCACTTCCATTCGCATTCAACTCCATTCACACTCATGGAAAACTGCCAAGGGGTTTAGTATACGCTACACCAAGGGTGCCCAAACTCGGTCCTGGAGGGCCGGTGTCCTGCATAGTTTTGCTCCAACTTCCTTCCTTGTTTGGAAGTTTCCAGTAAAGCTTGGAAAAGCTTGATTAGCTGGTTTAGATGTGTTCTATTGGGGTTGGAACTAAAATATGCAGGATACTGGCCCTCCAGGACCAAGTTTGGGCACCCATGTTCTACACTACTTATAATGGCAAACAATTCTTGCACCTGTGCTTTTAAATGATTCAGTTTCTGTTGAGTGATCCTATGAATCATTATCCATGCAACTAAATCTCAATTAAAAGGCTGAAACTTTCGCATCTTTCTGCTGAATTCAGGTCAGCAGCAATCATGTAATAACTAAAAAATGGAGTCCTTGCTTTCGGCATCTGTTATGTATGTGCGCTTGTCAGAGAAACAGGCTGACAATGCTGTTTCCTCAGAGCAGAAGTGTCTGAGCAAGCAGGGATTTGGAAGAGCTCAAACGTTAGCAGCACGCTAACAGTAATGCTGACGGATGTTGATGGAGCAATTTTTGACTACACCTAAGCAAATAACATCTGGATAAGCGTTCAAGGTCATTTTTCACAACAATAAATACAAACACAGAGAAAACAACAAGAAATGAACTTTAACAATGTCTTTCTCGAGCATAGCAACATCTAAAATGATCATTGTGATGCAGCACAAACTGTATTTCAAGATATAATCATATACATCCATGTGCAAGTTTTCCCAGGGCCCTTAAATGCCAATTTAGGGCCATCTGGAAGTGATGTGCACTGACAGAAAGCACGTCACCTGACCTCAGGGGTTCTCTCTGATTGGCTGAGGGAGGGTTGTCTTGTTATAATGAGCCTGAGGGGTGAGACCAAAGGGAAAGGAAACCGCGTTTCGTAAATCGCGGAGAGCAACAGAACAGACCCTGCCTGTGGACAAGCTGAGTCAGTCGCAATTAATGTCACGTCTACATTCGACAATGTGCTCGGAAAAATAACATTTGGTCACGGTCTCTCACTCACTTACTCACTGACACTCACAGCTCATCATCCGCAGTGCACACATGCACCTCTCACGCTGCAGAAGTGTGTGCATTCCTCATTCACTGCCATTCAAAACACACTTCATCCTGGGCTTTTCTTGCTGCTGTAGAGTCAAGATACATTTCAGACCAATGTATGTGAACATACAGCACGTTCTTCCCAGGTACTCGTACATGCAAGGCCCTTTCTGGGGGGGAAGATATGGGTGGTCGTGTATGGCAAGCCATTTTAGTATTTAAGCCATAAAATGCACTTCCATCTGTTTTCATGCTACTAGTATTTATTATACCTACTAGCATCTGTTTTATCAACTATTGGTGCTTATGCATTAGCTTTAAGTATTGGATTTTTAGGTAATGATTATTCTTTAGATACTAGTACCTTTATATCAATACCAGAACTTATTAGTTAGACACTAGTACTCATTTATTAGATGCTACTATTTAAATATTAATATTTACTAAATAGATAATAGTATTATTAGTATCATTTATCACATAATAGAAGCTATTCATCAGACACTAGATCTTTTTTTCTTACTAGCACTTGAACTGAATAGTTCCTGTAGAATAAAAAAATAAATTGTTACTAGTACCTTAGAATTAAGAATTAATTAACCTTAAGATAAATACCTAAAAACCGCACTAGAGCCTAAAAAACAACCTTTAAATGTTTTTTTAACCCAAAATAATCTGCAATGGTATCTAATGAATCTAAAGTAATATCAAAAAATCTACACTAGTACTAAAAAGATTCTGCACAAGTGAATAAGGAATAAAGAATCCACACTAGAACCTAAAGAATTTGACCTGATACCTAAAGAATAAGCAATAGAACCTAAAGAATCTGCACTAGTACACACAGAATCTGAACTAGAACTTTAGAAAAAATTGTAGATAAAGAATAAGCACTAGAACCTAAAGAATCTGCACTAGTACCTAAAGAATCTGAACTAAAACCTTGAACTCAGTCCTGGAGGGCCATTGTCCAACAGAGTTTAGCTGAGCTCCAACCCTTATCAAACACACCTCTCTATAGTTTTCTAGTGATCTTAAAGACACTGACTAGCATGTCTAGCCTTTTTTGATTAATTTTGGAGCAAAACTCTGTAGGACACCAGCCCACCAGGAGCAAGTTTACCCATGCCTAAGAATAAGTACTAGAACCAAACAGATCTGCACTGGTACCTAAAGAATCTACACTAGAAATGAAAGAATCTGAACTAATACGTACAGAATATGAAGTAGAACCTAAAGCAACAGAACTAGTAACTAAAGAATAAGCACTAGAACCTAAAGAATCTGCACTGGTACCTAAAGAAGCTGCACTGATACCTAAAGAATCTGAACTAAAACCTAAAACTCAGCCCTGGGGGGCCATTGTCCTGCAGAGTTTAGCTGAGCTCCAACCATAATCAAACACACCTTTCTATAGTTTTCTAGTGATCTTGAAAACACTGACTAGCAAAGTGTTGGAGCAAAACTCTGCAGAACACCAGCTCTCCAGGAGCAAGTTCACCCATCCCAAGAATAAGCACTGGAGCTAAAAAAATCTGCACTGATACCTAAAGAATCTACACTTGAAATGTAAGAATCTTCACCAATACCTACAGAATATGAACTAGAACCTTAAGCATTAGAACTAGTAACTAAAGAATAAGCACTAGAAACTAAAGAAACTGCACTTGTACCTAAAGAAGCTGCACTAATACCAACAGAATCTGAAGTAGAACCTAAAAAATCTGAACTAGTAACTGAAGATTAACAGAATCTAAAGAATCTGCACTGGTATTTAAAGATGCTGCACTGATACTTAAAGAATCTGTAGGAGGGTCATGGAGGGCCATTGTCCTGCAGAGTTTATGAACTCGAACCTAAATAATCCGCACTTGTAGCTAAAGAATATGCAATAGACCCTAAAGAATTTGCACTAGTAGCTAATGAACAAGCACTAGGACCTAAAGAATCTGCACTGGTGCCTAAAGAATAAACATTAGAAAATCTGCTGTTGTACCTTAGAAATCTGCACTAGAACCTAAATAATCTGCCCTTGTATCTAAGGAATCTGCACTAGAACCTAAATAATTTGCACTAGTAGCTAATGAACAAGCACTAAAACCTAAATAATCTGCCCTTGTATCTAAGGAATCTGCCCTAGAACCTAAATAATTTGCACTAGTAGCTAATGAACAAGCACTAAAACCTAAATAATCTGCCCTTGTATCTAAGGAATCTGCACTAGAACCTAAATAATTTGCACTAGTAGCTAATGAACAAGCACTAGAACCTAAAGAATCTGCACTGGTGCCTAAAGAATAAGCACTAGAGCCTAAAGACTCTGCACTAGATCTTAAATAATCTGCTGTTGTACATAAGGAATCTGCACTCGAACCTAAAGAATTTGCACTAGTAACTAATGACCAAGCACTGGGAACTAAAGAATCTGCACTAGTACCTGCATAATAAGCTCTAGAATCTGCACTAGCAGCTAAAGAATAAGCATTAGTAGCTAATGGAATAGCTAATAGTTGCTTAAAATTGATGCTAGTAGCATGAACATAGACAGTAGTACACTATATGGATTAAATGTTAAATAGGCTTTCCACAGGTTGTGGGGCATGCGACTGGCCCGTTGGAATGGGAGGTGCATGATCTGATTGGGGTGGATCACTGATTGGTTCTTTTGTCATGAAGGGCACTGGGCCCCACGTGAACGTACCCTTCTCAGGGTACACGTCTTCGCTTTGGGTGAACCTTACCCCTTTCCCTCCATGAACTGTTCAAAGAGAAGGAGAGGACGCAGAAAAATACAGAAAGAAATTGAGAGCACATTGTGATGTGGATTTGAGAGAGGAAAAGGGAGAGGCAGAAGAAAGAAAGAAAGAAAGAAAGAAAGAAAGAAAGGCAGTCCAACAAGCTAAGCAAATAATAATAGGAGTGTATTTTCAACCTGCTGTAGCTTTTTAGACAGATAAACACACTTGCTTTCATATTTTTTTTTAATTCTTAAATGAAGCAGTGACATTTATCCTTAATTGCATTTACATGAAGATCTATTAAAATGGCTTTGCCTGGGGCATCATAACCTAAAGTGTATCAGGATTCCCTAAGTGTGTGAGAGACAAAAATGATAGAGATCAGATAAAGCAGGTTATTATAGTTAATTATATTTTATTATATTTAGATTATATTTTGTAATACTAATATATCTTAAGCAAAGTAAAATACTTAAAACCAAACAACCAAATATGTAAACAAAAAATTGTAACTTTGCATAACATAGTGTTTAGTAAAAACAAATACATTAGAACTTATCTGCATATCTTTAGATTTTATTAAAGACTAATGTACAGCCAAAGTCGAGGAACCAAAAAAATCATTTTTAAAGATGCAGTGAGCGAAGTGTGCACAAGTCTTACCCTGTGTATTCTGAGACTGAACAAAGGTCTTGATGAGTTTGTCGGTAGCCTGAGTGTAGAGAGACAGAGCGTAATGTAGAGACTGGAGATCTGGACTCTTCTCCAAGAACGTCTTCTTCAGCCCCACACCTCCAGCATGGAAATATTGCTGAGAAACCACAAAACACCACACTCTGCTTATTAAACTGGGAGAGATGAACATTTTAATTGCCTCAAGATCTGAGCGAAGAGTCATAGCATTGCTTGCCATCTTGGATTTAACAGCTTGTAATTCGGATTTGACAATAGCCCCTTTCACACATACAGACCTTTCCGGAAAATTGCCGGCAATTTTCCGGAAAGGTTGTATATGTGAACAGGTCCTTTTTGAAAATACCGGTAAATTCGTTCTGGCTATTTTCCGGAAAGAGAAGTTGTAACATTACCGGCAATTTGCCGGAATGCTGCGCTGTGTGAATGCAGAAGGAAGATTGCCGTAATAAGCGCGTGCACGTCTAGAACGTGCTGACGTGAGACGTCTGCTTTAGCCAATCACAACAGTCAGACGCATTTACGTCCGCGCGGTTTGTGAGAATAAAAGCCTTTGAATATTTTACCAGACACATTTAGCTGCTAGAAGTTAGTCAGAACACGTTTATATGTTCTTCTTAATGCCAACTGTGTAAATAATCATCGATGAGATGCTTATGATAAGCCGTTGTTTGTTTACCTTCAAGCCTTGCGTGTGCCTGTGAAACAGCCTGTGAGCGCCAGCACACGCACATATTATGAACATCTCGACATGTGAAAGTGATCCAGCGAAAGTTGTTCACAATATTGATCATCCACAGAGTTTGCAATTTAGTCAAATGTTTACAAATGCAAGCGCAGCCGTTTAAAGCTCATTTTTGGTGAATGATGTCAGAATTTACCGGTATTTTGGAATGGATGTGTGAATGCTCTTTTCCGGAAAAATACCGTAACGTCCTCGCCTGTGTGAACAGCGCTTTTTTGAATTTACCGGTAAAGTCGTTCCGGAAATTTTCCAGATTTTTACCGGTATCACTGTGTGAAAGGGGCTAATGTCAAATTTGATTACTAGAACATTTTTCTGTTCTGTTTGAATGAGAGCTGTAATTTCCGTTTAGATATATGTGGTTAGCTCAGCTTTAACCTTTGTAAGTCAGTGTGTTCGGTTGACTTGGATTTCATACTAGATGTGTTAGTATTAGGGTTGTCACGATACTGGAATTTGATACCAATTGATACTGAAATATTAAAAACGTCCATTTCCCGCTAACATTTGAGCGCTGTTGAGCACGTTCTTAAACAGCACTGATTTGCCGCTGTGTTCATGTGCTCAACAGAAATTACTGTGATTGGTCGTGAAGGTAATTAGTTCACCGAAAACACTGCTGTTTACTACATTTAACCACAGATACAGAGACGTTTCAAATAGACAGCTGGTTTGTCTATAAGCTGACTGTCACCGACTCGGTCCCAGTCATTCCCCTCGCTGGCCAGCAGAGGTCATCATCACCGGACTTCTAACATTACATTATCCCCAAACACTGATTGCAATACACCTGCAGCACATCTCACTGATTACCCACGCACACACATTTAAGCAGCCCAAAGACTCACCTCAGTGCGAAGTCTTGTTCTGCCCTTGCTGACATTTCTGAGCGTTCATACCCTTGCCTGATCTCCCCGTTATTACCTGGACTGTTCCTTAACCTTGCCTTGCCTGCCACCTGCCCTGAACCCTGCATTGTACCTCGACTTTTATCCACGCTGCCTGCCTCGAACCCTGCCTGGTAAATCGCCTTTGATCCACGTCGCCTGCCTCTGACCCATGCCTGTTATCACTATCCTTGACACCCAGCCGCCAGCCTATCGACCCAGTATTGCTATGTTTGATGTGAGTTCGCACACTAGTGCTTACTGTGTGATTGTTATTAAACTGTGTTAAATAAATATACTGCAAATGGATCCCTCTGTGTCAGACTCCTCGTTACACTGACATACGAGCGATCTGCTGATGAATCACGGCTTTAAAATTTATCTGTGGTTACACTCAGTAAACAACTGTGAGTTCGATGAACTGATCACCTTCACGGCCAGTAATAGTCATTTCTGTGGATCGCTAAAAATGTTCGCGGGAAATGGAGGTTTTTAACATTTCAGTATCGAGACAACTAGAGGTGTGAACCTATACTGGTCTCACGGTTCGGTTCGGTTACGATTATCATGCCATTGATTCGGTTCAATTCGATATCTCGGTGCATCACGGTGCATTGACGATGCTTTCCATATACAGTGTTATATTTTAGGGGGGAGGCTATAACATGCTGTCTGTATAAACACACAGACACACAGCAACACACTGTCTCTCATTCAAACACATTCACAAACATAGACAGCATCAAACAAACAAACACACACACGCACACACACACACAAACAAACACACTTAAGCCCTTGCAACAGGGAGAGCTCGCGCTGAGCGGAGCAGAAAAACAAAACAAAAAAACCCCAAAAAAATAAGCACTTTTCCGACGGTCCCTTACAGAGAGCTCCTCTCAGCGCGAGCTCTGCCGGCTAAAGTAAACGCAGACTGCGAGGGCTTAAAGGGAGCAGTGCTCGTAATGTCGAGCGAAAAAAAGAAAGACAGCTGTAAAACATAACCAGCTTTGTCTTTCTGTAGGAAACACACTTTAGATCTTTTTAGGGTAAGCGTTTTTTGAGTTATTGCCGTCTATAACTGAATGTGTGTCAGGAAAATAGAAAACAAAACCAACTGAAGCGTGCTCGTTTCTGGCGCCCCACTGGATATACAGCGCCCTAAGCATTTGCCTATGGTGCCTATGCCACGGACCGGCCCAGAGTTGGCTGAGTGTTGTAAATAACGGAGCTCACCTCCCTCGCGACAGAGCGCATAGGAGATAAATGACGTCACGACATAATAACCGGTTATGGTTATTACTGAATCGATACCGAATTGTCCGCGTCTGCATCGCGGTGCACCGAAGAAACAATTAATTTTGACACCCCTAGTGAAAACCCTAGTTAGCATTAATTTGCTTAGCAGTGGTTTTCTCCGTGAAGTTTTTATATTTGCGTAGTTTGCTCACCATTTGGATTTATAAAGAAACAAGCCAACTTATGTAGAGTAGTGAAGTCTTGGATATGTATGGCTCATTTTCAATGAAAGAGCCTGTCAAAGCTTTACTCTGGATGTAAAATAGAATATTAGTGTGCTGTGGAGAGTAAACATATATTTATGTAGCCGACTGATTAAAGTTATTTTGATCCTTTTTTATTTATCCTTAAGGAAATTCATATTCTACCTCTGCAGTGTTTGCCACTAAAAATCAGTGGACGACATAAGCTGCGTATGAAATCGCTTACTACTCAATAGGTACTGCATTTGAATTCAAATGTACTACTTGACTATTAGAAAAGTACGTTCAATACAGTATAAATGCGATTAATATGAATGGAACTCCGACACACCACAACCATTTTGTCATGATCATGTGACCTACCCAGTGCCCATTTATGAATTATCTCTGCTGCATCATGGGATAGCATTGCATGCATCGGATGCGTACTTCAGAGTCTTACCAGAAGAAGTAGGTCGCCCAGGTACTTCTTACATACTGTGTTTCGAATGATTTGAATTCGGACATACTACTCAGCTCCCATACTGTTTTAAGTGTACTGTATAGTATGAAATAATGCAATTTCGGACGCAGCCATAATGTTGACAATGAGTTCTTCCCTCACCTTTATAGTATCCAGCGCTAACTCAATCACTGCACACTGTTTAGGCGACAGTGCCTTGGCCTCCTCACGAACCATGTGCTCCTACAGAAACAACATTTTTGATTAAATACAGAAAACACAACACCAATCTTGCAAAGGCCTTGCTAAGTTCATCATAGCACCTGTGTTTTGCATTGCTGTTTAATTAATAGGAAAATAAATAAAGACAGAAACTGATGACTAAATCAGAATACAACATTTTTATTAACTAGCCTGCATCCAACCTTTCTTACCTTAAGCTTGGAAAGCTGACCGAGTTCCTTGGCTGCGTTGAATATGAGTTGAGTGCCCTGAAGGAAGATGGAAAGCAAAACGGAAAAGCGAGAAACAGAAAGAAAGAGGATACAGAAGAGAACAGAGGACATTAGTCAGATCACTGGGTTCGACAGGGTTGTAGACAGAAATATCACATCACAGAGGTCAAAAACAGACAGTCTCAAACGTCAGACACGCACTCGCTCAACCCCAAAACACACAGCCACTCGTCGACACACAACTGTTTGTGCAACAGAAGACACTAGCTACAAACAGAAGACAGAGACAGGAGTTGAAAGGTTTTACTAAACCAGTAGGTCCACAGCCCGGACAACAACACTCTGGTGATATATCTAGTATCTATGACTGGCCGATACTCTAATCTTTGGATATATCACTAAGTGAATGAGGCTTGTGCACCTTATTATACCATTATACAAAAGTGTACAATGTAGTCCTTCTAGGAGAATGAAATAGTTAGTATAGTAGTTCTGACGCTGTCGTTTAGACCAGCATAGCCACCGGAGTCTAAAACGACGGTCACACATGCATTATTTACCCCAAGCATCTGTAATGACCTAAAAGGGAGGGGGCTCGTCCGGGAGCTATAAAGGTTGTCTATGGGGAAATCCATAACTGCGTTGAAAACAAGGGGTTCAAAAAAACAAAACACTGCTTCCACCGGTTTGTTTCAACAGGGGGGAGGGAGGGGGGGACCCAAGTCACACAAAGAAGACATTGAGAATGAGAGAGAAGAGAGATAGAGAGACAGGACACATTGAGCTAAATGGGGATTCAGTTCTTACATCACTGTGACAAGCAAGCTTCACCCTGCCCTGTGAAGAGAGGATAGTGTAATTAACTTGAGAAGTGGTCTCGGCCCTCTTTAATAGGCTGACAGTGGCCATTATCCAGAAACTGACAGACTTAATGGGCCAATCACATCACTTCAGGAGGTTGCAATTTACGGAAAAGGTAAACTTAATTTACATAAAAGGTAGTTTCTTGTTAAAGTGAGAGTTCACTCAAAAATAAAAATTGCCATTATTTAATCACCTGAATGTTTTTTTGAACATCAAATTTAGATTTTTTTGAGAATTTAGATTCAATTGAGATTGAGATTGGAGAGTTTATGGGAAGAACTTCAGAAAATTAACTTGAGGGTGAATAATACTAATACAACAAATCTTATGTACCATATGTGCAAATGGTATTGTGCCATATTTAAATATATGCAAATGAAAATGAGATTGGAGGCTGGATGGAAAGAAGTTTGGTATCAATGTGAGGGTAAACCTGATGCAACAATTTTGATGTCCCTTATTTAAATATACAGTGCTCAGCATATAAAAGTACACCCCTCACAAATCTTTTTTTTAAATTTATATTTTAATAGGAAGCCATACAATACTATATTTGGGCATATACATTAGGTTAGTCAGTACTGAAGCCAAATCTGGAGTTTATCTACCAGAATAATATACGATAACAGTCCAAAAATTTGTACACCAAAGTTTATATGTTATAGAAAAATATTTAATGCAAATTTGAAAAAGAGGATTTTTTTTTTAACATTTTGCATGAATTTCATTTTATCTATCAATTTCTCAATATGTTTGGTGACTAAAATATAATTTTAATAAATGTATCTGTTTAATAAATCTGTTTTGTTCAAATACACCAAAATACATTGTCTATATTCACTGAGAAATGGATACAAATATTAATTTTCAAAACCTTGAGTACTCAATTGACCCTTCGCTAAGCCACACCCAAAAAACGCCACCCACCAATCGTGGCTTAGCAGCCGAAGCTGTGCGCAGGGGCTCTGTCAAACTTTCGAGCGGGGTAAACAAGCCAAAGCGTTGTGCATATGGATTGTGCAAATCTGATACTCGGTATCCTAAAAGTTTGGACAAGGTGGTGGAAATTTTTTTCCTTTTCAAAACCTAAAACCCAAGGGGAGAAATGCCAACGTGGACCAAGCTGTGTGAGGGGTGCTAAAGGAGCGGAGTTAGGTTGGTTTTGTTTTGATATTCCTGACACATTCAGTGATAGACCGACGGCAATAACTCAGACACCAGTTACCTTAAACAGATCTAAACTGTTTCCTGCAAAAATAAAAAGCAGGTTATGTTTCACAGCTGTTTTTTCCTTTTGTTCAATATTATGAATTTATATATATATATATATATATATATATATATATATATATATATATATATATATATATATATATATATATATATATATAAATTTATATATATGAAATTACATATCGACAGTAACAAAACCGAGATGTGATCACAAACTGAGCACTTGTGATTAATATACTTCACCTGCAGCTATTTTTCAGTCATTTATAACACTCATGCCCATGTCAGAGCAACAATTCACTGATGTTTTTGTCTGTCTTTTGGAGATTTAGTCAATGGTTGTGACGTTTTAGCGGGTTAGTGTCTGCTTTTGTTATTGGTGTCGGATTAATATTTGCTGGTAGGGAAAATTACCTACGAATAAAATCGATTTATTCGCTTCTGCTATTTATACTTTGATTTGCATTTTAATTTATTTATTTCTTCCACTAACTGCAAATTAGAATAGAAACTGTATAAAGAGCACACAAACATATTGACTGTTATAGGTACTGTACATTGTTATGGGTCAATGATGCTAATATTTGGCACAAATCCATCAATTTCCTCTTTCTGGCCTTTTCTTTCCATGAATGAATTTCCTGTGTTTCCTGGTCGGTTAGTAACACTATATTTCATTGCACAACAATTAATCTATCAGGCTTTTTGGCTAAAAAAGAGAAATCACGGTTTAATTTGTTATTATTAGATTATTTTTAAATTTCATCTCTCTTGCTGTGCATGATCTAAGCTGCTGAATGGTCAGTGTATGAAGCGGCTAGGCTAACCTAGCTTAATTTTTGATGAAGTTATTTTCTAATCGGTTGCCTATTATGTCGTGAATATACCCCTGTAACGCATACTACAGTGCATTTTTGTCTGGCGTTCTCAGATATCTCACCTGTTCGCCAAAAATGACTAATTATATCCCTGGCAATGTCTGACACAAAGTATATACATTGTGATAGACGTGCCAGGCATGAAAGCTTGACAGACGTACCAACAGTAACTAAGGAGGGAGGGGCTAAGCGAAGGGTCAATTATGCTGAGCACTGGATGTAAATGTGAATGAGGCTTGAGAGTGATTTTAGAATCATCATGAAGGTAAGTAAAATGTGCAAGAATTCCAAATATACACAACTTCAAATATGTACAGAATTTCAGTATCAACATTTGGGTGAATAAATTATGACAAGGTTTTCATTTTTTGGTGAACAATCATGTTAAAGCAGAGTATTTAAAACTGACGTACATCGTATTCGATATTTGTGCAATATTTTTTATAATCTAAGGGACCAACTAAACTAGGTAAAAGTGAAAACAAAGGTAAAATTCGATCATTTGTAAACAGAAAATTATAATCATATCTTCATATAGAAGTAAATGAACTGAAACATCAATTAAAAATGCAGAGCAAAACAAAACTATTTGCACCATAAAATAATAATACATTTTTACAAACATTTTACAAACAAATATTATTAAAACACCTGGACTAAACATTATCAAGCCCGAGAATAGAAAACATTTCTCTACATAAAAAAAGTAGTCACAGAAGACACATCAGTATGAAACCTCAGTGTTGGATCAGACCAATTTGGGTACAACAACACGCAAATACCAGGACAGATTGACAGAATAATGTCTGCAGAGACTATAAAGAGGCTCAGGAGTTGAGGTGAAGATCAGACGCAAGCAAACAACCCACAGAGGAGAGAGGTTTCAAACAGGTGACAGAGACAGGGAGGGTGGACCGCCTGAAACCAGTTCACGTCACCCAGATAACCGACCCACCACGGACACTAAACTGGGAGCAAAAGAGTGTCGCTTTCAGGGGAATGAGTGGAGAAAGGGGTTGGGACTTTGGATTGGACTTTTTGTTGGGGTGGGACTCAGAAAAAATAAGGGCCTGGTCCAAGTCAATTAGGAAATGCACCATGCTGCAGCCACCTCGAGTATTACAGAGCGCTGAGGTGGCCAGGGAAAGGTGAGGAGATGTACGAAGAGGAGAAGAAAGAGACAGCAGGAGAAAGAGTGACAGACGAATGAGGATGCATTGGACAAAAGGAAAGGACTCGGCAGCCACACAGAGCAGAAGGAGGTGGTGGGAGAGGGTTCACCCGGCGTGGACGGACTGCGGGACACACAGACGCACAGACAAAAGTGCTCTGGTACTTACTATCATCTGTGGAGGTGGAGCGGGGGGAGAGCGAGAATGTAATAACCAGAGAGAAGGGTCAGTGAAGCTACAAAGAGCCCCACATCAAATCAAAAGAAGCATTAACATTCAGTCTACAGGCCAGGTACAAAATTATGGTCCCGAGGTCTGGTTCAAAACAGGCATAACTTAACCAAAAATGAAAAAAAAAAAAATCTCACCCCTCAATTTCTATTCATAATTTGTGTTCCTTCACCCATGAAATACTGTACAAAAGGCAAGGTTCTTACACCTTTTTTGAAAGCCAGATTTAAGTACTTTTCAAGCATTTTTCCAGGTGCATTTTTAAACGTCCAGCACTTTATAACTGCAGTAAATTACATATTTACATACACTTAAGTACTTCTTCATCATACTTTTAGATGTTATTGTTAAAGAATTCTATAGTACAGTGGTGCCTAGCCATAAAGCGCTTCATCTTTTGCGGTCTCTCAGTTTTGCAAGTTTTTTTGTGCAATTTTACATTATTTTTTTTTACATCGCATTGTGTTCTAAATTCTGGACTGCATTTCCGAAACCAACTAAGGTCGCAAGTTCCATTGTTACATACATACTTTGTCAATTTAGCATTTTCCAAATTCATCGTTCCAACAAACATTTGCAAACTGCATCACAAACTTGTTCTTTTTCAACTACATCTCTAGAGCTGTAGTTAAGCCGAGTTCCTGGCTGTGTTCCATTCCCGGGTATCCCCCCTATGCCCTATTAATTTAGAACGTTCCAACATTTAAACTTGGAATGATAAAAAAAAACCATAAAAGTCATCACTCTTAGGTGTGATTTGCTTTTAAAGTGTTTTTACAGTTTTAGCGATCTTTATGTTGACAATTGTGTTACAATTTGAAATCATTTATGCCATTTTGAACACAGCCATGGCTCATGACGAAAGCTATAGGTGACCTATTATTTAAAATCAGAATTTACGTTACGTCATAGCTTTTGAAAACAAAAATATATAACATATGTTAATGCTTTTCATTTATAGTAGGCTATTTATTAAGTAACTTTACCCAAACAATGCATTGTACTATGAAAGTTCAGCCACGAGTTATGTCGTTGTTTGGGAAACGCACCCTTAATTAGCTGCAGACCATTAAAGTGGCTCTAAAGTGCTGTACTGTATGTTTGCAAGTTTTCTCTCTAACAAAACCCATATTGTGGATGAAACATACAGCACCGTCAAAGGCACCCACGGTAGCACCCAAAAGGCAGAGGAAGATGCTAACCATCGCACAAAAAGTTGGATTTCTGGACATGCTAAAGGAAGGTAGAAGTTATGCGAGCGTTTCAACAAAAGAGAAAATAGTGTAGTGAGAGGTTTTACAATCTTAAAAGGTCTAAAATAATTGTAAAAAAAATAAAGCTGATAACTTTGCGGGTATTTTTAGAGTGTAACTCCTGTGATTAACAAGGGACCACTGTATACTATATACATAAGGAAAGTCTACACTAAGCTAAATATTTCGATGGGCGAATATTGAAATTGTTACATTTTAAATTATACTTTAAATTGAAAGATTGTTTGTTAAGTTTTAGTAGGAAATTACTTAATAATTAAGATCAATTATGAAAGTAAGCAGGTAAAGAAAAGGAAGGAAGCAGTTTCTAGCAGTTTAAACTAAATTTAAACCCTGAAAACACTAAAAATCAGGCATTTCTAAGGATTTCTAAGGAGAATGCTGTTTTCTCAAGCTGTTTTTTCCCATACATTGAAAGGAAATGGGAAGCAGGCAAGTTACAAAATGGACTTAAATGCAGTCCTTGCAACTTGTATCTTTTATTTAAGTATTATATACATTTTCTGAATATATAAGTATACTAAAACCAACTGATGTGAAATAAAAATACATGAAATGTAAATGCCAATTATTACTTCTGTATGATCAAAGTTGTTTACAAGGATTGACCATGTAAATGTCAAAACTTTTAAATGATTTTAGAAGTATTTAGAAAATGGTTTTAAGTATAGAAGTCAAGTGGGCCAATTGTACGATATCTGTTTTGGAATCCTTTGTTGTAGAAAAAAAGAGCAGCAGAAACAAACTTTCATGGATGAAAGAAACTCATTACAATTTGTTACAACATAAGGGTGAGTGAACGTTAAAAGATTTGACTTTTTTGAGCAAATTATTCCTTTTTTTTGTTTGGCCTTTTGTGATCAGCAGAACTGTATTTAGCAATTAGCTAAATATGCCATTAGGGAGCTGCCTCCCATCCCAATGTATAACCTTTGAAAGAACTGATATGGGTCTCTTTTGTCAAAAATAAACAAATACAAATAAAAATACAAAAAGAACAACAGTTATATCAAGACAAATTGAAAGCAGTAAGTTGTCTCTGTTCCTGTAGAAATGTTCTCAAAAGTTAGCTAGCATTCAAATATGTAGAAATACAGCTAACAAAACGTATTAGGTCAAAATTGCAAGACAAAATGTGCAACTGTGGGACTACAGGATCAGAGAGCAGCATCAAGAGGTGCTTGAATGATATGGTGCACTCCCAATGTTTTTAGAGTGGAAAGATGTGTCTTTTTTTTGTCCAAGGGAATTTGATGTGGGAAAGGGACATTTTTTTGTTGGGCATGAGGAGGTACATTTGCAATCGTCTTCATGATCCATAGCAAAATATACAAAGCTGTGAACAATCCTAAAGAAAATTTGTGTACATAAATCTCTGAACAGCTCATTACCGTTTGGTCAGTTAGCGGTGGCAGAACAATCGTCTTCTCCATTGTGTTCATGACCAACTTCCAAAGCTCCTTCAGCACTCGCTTCAAGACTGTCTTCTCACAGATCTTGGCAAATAGTGTGAGGCTAACAAGGAAAAAAGGTCAGATTACAGTGGAAGGTGCCAGGAATACATCGAAATCTAATAATCTGCATCTTACTTGCTGTCAAGAAAGTCCATGATGGGTTGGAGGACGTTGTCAGCATCCTGTGCTACGCTGCTGCAAGCACTTGCTGGCACATTTCCCGTTCCCTTCACCTGGCTAAGTATATCTCCCATTTGCTTGACATTTTCTTCAATGTTTGGCTGGAAACTAGCAGGAGAAAGAGATGGAGAACAGATGTTAGTATGAAAACAGTGCAAAACTACTTCTTCCTGATCCCTTGGTACATCACCTGGTGGCAAATATCCTTGCAAGGTCGTCCAAAACATTGTTGAGCTTCAACTGAAGTTCTTTCAAGATGTCGCTAGCTTCAACGTTCAACTAGAAAGCACATTAATGGTCAAAATCACCAGAACCTGATCGGGCTCTTAAAAGGCTGTAGGTCTTTGCTCAAGAAGCAAAATGTTGATTTGTGGTGTACTTACATCTTTACCTCCCATGGCCTCAAACATCTTCTCAAGCTGTACCCTGAGCTGCTGAATATTGTTGATGAGGATGCAGGGCTGTGCAAAGCAAAAAACAATGTTGAAGTGTATAAACCTCAACAAAAGGCCAATTTAACTTACTTATTGCAATTATTTCCATGAAAAAGTCAGATATGCAGACCTTCACAGCACCGTCCTTTGCATTCTAGGATCAAAGAAAAGGTAACATACAGAATAGGTTAAATTCTAAATTTAATAATCTGTTTTTAAACATTATGAACCCAGTTCAATTGGTTTTCAGACTATTACCACTTTCTCCTTGGTGCAGTGGTTCGGGAAGTCTCTGGAGATAATATCCGCATAGGAGAGCAGAACGTTGCTGATGGTCTGTGGGGGAAAGAAACCTTATGAAAATGAATCCAACATGCAAAACAACTTTGTATATTAATGTTTCTAAAGGCTAGAATATACAAAAACAACATCTGCACAATTTTCAGGTTTTTTGCAGTTGGAGTTGACAGATTTCACAAGTGTGATGGACAGAAACTCCTATTTTTTTAGGTTAGACAACAGCCCCTTTCACACATACAGAAAGGGATCATGTGTGAATAGGCCCTTTTTGAAAATACCGGTAAACTCTTTTGGGAAATTTTCTGGAAAAAAAATAACATTACTGGTAGTTTGCCGAAATCAGGATAACCAGATATAGCAAACTTTTTCCATCCCAAAAGTGGTCCAAAACCCGCCAAAACGCACATAAAAAACTTAATTATTATATTAACATTTTATTGAACACTTAATTATTTAAATTGAAATTTAGCCTAGTTTCTTTAACTGTCATATTTTTAGCCATACAGCAACCAACACCAGCTGTCACAGTACCACAAACTAACTGGATCACATCGAAACACTGCCGCTCCCCCCTCAGCCAATAAGAACATTCAGACGCATTCACATCTGCGTTGTTCATGAAAATAAAAGCTTTTGAATATTTTCCCAGACACATTTAGCTGCTAGATGTTAGTCAGACAATGTTTCTAAGTTCCTACTTAATGCCAACTCTGGAAAGAATAATCGATAAAATGCTTTTGATAAACCGCTGGTTGTTTACCTTCAAGCTCTGCTTCAGTTGCTTGACACGTGTGCATGTGAAGCAGCTGGTGAGCGCCAGCACACACATATATTAGCCATTTAGAGTTTATTTCTGATTAATGATGTCAGATTTTACCGGTATTTTGGAATGGATGTGTGAATAGACTTTTCCGAAAAAATTCTGTAACGTTCTTGCCTGTGTGAACAATGCTTTTTTGAATTTGCCGGTAAAGTCATTCTGGTAAATTTCCGGGTATTTACCGGTATCAATGTGTGAAAGGGGCTTATGATTCCATCCAATTCAAAATATAAAATATGTTAGAACATATTATTTTTATTTATAATGCATGAGGAGCATGTTTAAGTGTGAGTTTGTAGATTTCCGAACATTTATCAGTGTGTGATCCTTACTAGTATAATGTACGGTGGCTATTTTTCTCAACCTGTACGATGCTTCTGCAGTAGTTGTGAAATGGAGGTTAGCTAGTAGGAGCTGTGTCAATCTATGCTGGGTACTGCAATCTGAATCCCACTTATTGTGGGGGGTAATGAACTGGATGGGTTCATTTGGTGCCGTGACCCAGATGGGAGGGACTTTTGGTGGGTATGCTAAGTGTATAGGAGGCCAGCTAGTATAATCTGTATAAGTAAACCTCACTTCCTTGATCTCCTATGGTGAAGATGCCAGTTCAAAACCAGCTTGTTGTTAGGTGGGTAGAATCAGAAAGGTTACATTGGTGCCGTGACCCAGATGGGAGAGAGGATTAGGAAGGGTATGTAAAGGAGGTATTAAGAGTTATGTGTATAAATCTAGCTTGTCTGGCCCCCATGCTATAAACTTTTTGTATTTTGTAAATTGAGAAATTTAGTTGTGCAGTTTCGATAATAAAAGTTTGCAACTAAACATTGTGACCAGAATTTCAGTTTGACTTCAATATTGTACAATTTGACTAGAAACTTTAGTAAAAGACATATATAAAATCTCACAGTCTGCACTTGGCTAAAGCTGTGAGATTCCCTAAAGGCTTTGATGAAAGTAAATGAAATTATCATGGGTCTGGTACAAATGTGAAGTTCTCAGCTGTGGACCTTGGCAAATCTCTTCATGTAATGTCCGACGATCTGTGGGTCTGGACACTCCAGCTTCTTAATGATCTCAAAGCTCTGGTTGAGCTGTGAGAAGACATCCACTACCGAACAGGAGAAGAGAGCGTGCTCCGAGGTTTGCTGGTACTGTAGGAAAGAAAAGGTTGGAGACAAGGAGTCAGAAAAACTAGAATAGAAAGAGCGAGAGACCACACAAGCAATTTGCCACCAGACTTCAGGTGTGGGCTCTTTCGTCTGGAAATAATTGGGTTTGAGGTGAGACTGTAGCAGGATCCCAGAGGTGGCTCAGTGAAACTAATGAAGTAAAGAGTGTGATTATTGGTTCTGGAACATGCTGAGGTGCTCTGAGGGCACTCATTCATCACATTTTGGCATGTCTGGCTGCAGGCTGGAGGCCCACTGCTACTGTAACTCATCACAGCTGGTAAGCTCAATAGTAAGAATAACTTTACAGTACATTTCCATTACATTTTCTAAAGTTGTGCTATCACCTTTGTTCTAAGTAATACTTTATTTTATTTTATTGTTAATGCAATAAATTACATTTCAATATATGAGGAGATTGCTGAAGCCTTCTTTCTCAGTGGCATTTAAAACATTTATTAATGCAAAATAAAATACATTTTCATTTAACCTCATTTGTTTTATTTATAAAATCCCTAAATAGTCATTTTCACAAATTTGAAACACTGAATTGATTTAAAATAAAATCTATCTTATAAAATTGTAGATAAATCTCATCTCGATTCTGTTGCCATTCTATACTTTGAAAAATATTTCCATCAAAATACACTTTTTATTAATAAAAATAGACCGTTTTCACATTTCCGAGTTTCTCAGTAGCGGAAGTCGTTATAGTTGAGAAAACTTTGAGCACAGTCAATGGTAGAGTACAACAAATATTTTTTTACAATCTTATTTGCTTTAATAATAAAAAGAAAAACTCCATGATGAAGACATTTAGAAAAAGGTAAAAATTGTGTGGGACTGATGACAGAAGGCAGAGAAGAGAACAATGTCACAATCACAAAGATGACACAATACATACAGAAATACATATAAATGTTAATATGTTTAAAAAAAAATCTAAATATTAAAAACTTTCCATTACGTTAAATTGCAGTTAAAAAATATTATACCTTAGTAACAGTATTTAAAAAGCATTTAATATATGAACAATGACAAAAAAACAACATTAATATTATTATTAATAATAGCGGAGATAAACCATTTAGCAATTTTATATTTGGAGTAAAAAGTAAAAGTAAAAGTTTTATGTAATAATAAATATTAAAAAAATCTATATTTTGAAGAGATTTGTAAAACTCATACTTATATTGAGTCATAATAGCAAGGAAGAATAAAATGTAAAATATGAATAAATATTATAATTACATTAGGAGAATATCGCAATAATTATTGAATATCATTAAAGGGACAGTCACGCAAAAATTTCCATTCTGTCATAAATTACTTCACCTTCCCAAAACCATATTAGAGTTTCTTTCTTCTGCTAAACACAAAAGAAAATATTTTTTAAAAATGCTGGTTGCTGGGAACCATTGACTTCCATAGTAAATTTTTGTTTTACTATGGAAGTCGATGGACTTCAACAACTAGTATTCTTCAAAATATATTCTTTTGTGTTTAAAACCACATGAGGTAGAATAAATGATGAGCTAGCTTTCACTTTGCATGAGTTAAAAAAATTGGCAATAGGTTACAATATTTCTGGACAGCTGCACTTGAAGTTAGGCCACATAAACACACACACAAAAAAGGAAAGATAAATCTTACCCCATCTTTCTTGTCACGCTCCAGGGCTCCATGCAAAAAGTCTCTGGACACCTCCTCATTCTCATCCAACCACTGAATGACAAACGGCTCAAACCACCTGCAAAGCAATATCACCACCCAAAGCTCCATTATTACCCATCATTGCATGCTCACAGTGACATTCTGACTCATTTAGTATGCTTGTGATTCAACAACTGCAGATGTGTTCGTTGTGCAGTCATTATTTCTTTCTGCTTTAGTTCAATGTTTCTATTCTTTATTATTTTAATACCTTGTCACTCGTTGCCAGGAATCACAAAAATTTTACCGACCAAAACATAATAATATTTTCAGCAGTTATACAGTACACAGCTAAACATAATTTACTGTTGTCCGAATGAGTCAGTGTATATATGTTTCCCATCATCTATCAATTTCATTTTACTTTCCTTCATAATATTTCATTATTCATTTAATTTCATTCATTTTATTTATTAAAAAGCCCCAAACAATTAATTTCCCAATTCTGAAACATTAAATTGTTTTAAAGTAATATTTATCTTAGAAAATGTCCATAAATCTCATGTCAGTTCTGTTGCCATCCCATACTTCCATCAAATATTCTATCCATCTAATTCATTCTTATATTTAAGAGTTTTTTTTTCTTGTAAAAAGTCAAAACTGTTAACACTTACTAAAAGTATTTATCATCATTTCATTAGTTCATTAGTGTTGCTCTTATCATTATGTATGTGTGGGGGGAAAAGGAATTTATTTTTATTACTTTTGTGTCTTTATTTTTTATTTGACAAAAAGTTTAGACAAACAACAGATTAATCAACCTTTTCCTCTTGTATGATACCATATATTAACCAAACATACTTCTTCTTTCTGACTGTGTTGCATACTTCTTAGAAGAAACAGCTGACCAAAGGAAAATAGCAGAATAAGAATAAATATAGTGTGGGGGGCTTTGCTCCAGACCTCTGTCTAATAAGAAGTCTAGACATGTCACAAGGAGCTGGATGCTTGTAGAAGTTGTGAAATATATTGTAGGTCACTTAACTGTTCAGTTTTGGTATGCAGAGAAGGGTTGCAGAAAGAGGAAGTATGTTTGGGTGCAACAGCCAAGAGACTGCAGAATGACTGATAAGTGACGTTACATCAAAATTCCACCTGTTAATATCAGTTGTGTATATATGCTGGAGCCAGGGAAATGCTAGTTAGTTGCAAACCTCCTGAATGTAATTCTTGTATTGCATTACCCAGAGTTCTGTCCTCGAATTATTCATTTGTATCTAATAAATTAATAATATTTTTCACATTGAAGAAAACCCTCTCCTGACCTTTTTTTAGTGAACATGCATGGAATTGGCTAGAAATTTCAACATACGCTAGCAAGTTGGATTGAAAAATGTCAACTCTGTTACCTTTGAACTCTTGTAGATTTAACATAGTAGACAAATAATACTTACACAGTGTTTTTTGTTAAATGTGGGAAGTAATTTCTGTTCGGAAACCACTTAATTATTATATCCTCAATTATAAAATCACCCAAGTATTCTGAGATTTAGGGCATCAGTATCTTTACTCACGTTGGATATTCAGGCACTCGGCTCTTGAAGAAAGGCAGGTCTTTGCAGTACTCATTGTAGAGCCACTTTACTTTGAAGTGAAGGTTCATGTAATCGGCGCTCTTGCACAGGCGGTTCTTTTCGTGCTCTGAAAGTCATGAGGTGAAGACAAAAAAGCTTATTGTGAAGCAGTTACATCTATGCAGAGCTGAGAACCCCTACTGCACCAGCAGATGAGAAGAGCTGCGCTGCAAGTCGACTTTTCTCCTAGTGTGAAATTTAAGTGGCTGTCAGAGAGAAACCCTGCAAGGCTTGTGCTGCAGACACTTTCATTGGAGCACATCTCATCTGTTAGCCAAGTTATGATCATTAAAGGCTACAGTTGAAACTTTTAATGAAATATCATGAGCTGCTGGAGTAAGAAAAAGTAAAAAAAAAAAAAAGTTAAAAATGCACTTAAAGTTCAGTAATATTATTGCACTGGTACTGTGGGATAAGGGCAAAAGTTGAATAGATTTCAAACAATGGCACTACTGTTTTGTGTTTTTATAAATAGCTTTTTGCACTATATAATTGAATATATATTAAATTGTTGAATAAAATCTGTATCATAATTGACAAATATTAAACCAGCATTATTGTTTTATACAGTATTTAGCTATCTCATAACTAATAATTTGTGCGACATCGACAATTACTGACTTAAATAAAGACAATATTTGCTTTATAGCTCTATCAGAACTGTTTCATAATTGACATATTTTGCAACATCAACAGCGTTACTGACCTGAAATGAGATACAGTACCACTAAACTGACTTCAGCTGAATAACAACACTACTGTTTATACAGTATTCAGCTACTGAACTTTGTTTCATACTTGACAAATTTTGCATCATGGATACTGTTATTGAACTAATCTGAATCAACATTTGCCTTAAAGCAGAATCAAGTTTATTTTATATTAGGCTAATTGTGCATCCCTGACACTCTGTAACGAATGAGTTTTATTATTGACAAATGTTGCAGCATCAGAACTTATTGAATTCAAATTTTCTACTTGATAAAGTCAACTTGTTTCATAATTTATTATTTTGCAAGACAGAAACTTTAAATTTCTTTTATAACTAATCATTTGTGCGACATCAACGATTACTGACTTAAATAAAGAAAATATTTGCTTTATAGCTCTATTAGAATTGTTTCATATTTTGCAACATCAACACTGTTACTGACCTGAGATGAGATGCCATTAAACTGACTGAAGTTGAATAACCACACTACTACTTGCTATACAGCTATTTTTATCAGATTTTACATCATCAATCTCAAATTGACTTAATGAACATTTGCATTATGTCCAAATTAGTCAACAGTGATGAATAATGACCCTAATGTCTTCTGTAGAAGTGTTTAAACGCTGAATCTAACTTAACAAACTACTTACCTTTACAGTAGAATCTAAATTGATCTAATATTTGAGAATATTTTCAAATTTCCCCCCCAATAATGCTTTGAAACATCTCTACTTTACAAAAGTGTTATATAAGAAAACCAATATTGAGAAAAGTCACTTAGACTCACCTTCCATCGCATACTTCATATCTTGGGCAAACAGGTTCCACATAACCTCTGCGCTGATCTTCCCAACATTGAGCTCTTGCGGAAACCTGAGTGGAGCAGAACAGCCTATATTAAGATCCTAAACAAGATTTACACCCGGGCGTTTTGTGATACCGGACTCACTGGTTAAGGCAGGGTGTGTAGGAGTTCTTGTCTTCTTCAATAATGGAGACAATAAGAGTGATCAGCTTGGACCAGAAGTCCAGGTTCTTGATGCTCGGGCCTTGCTCTTCTGGAGGAACCTCTCCTTTTTTGTTCTGCACAGAAAGAATTTATTTGAAGCACTGAATGTGCTTTTGTAATCTTTCAACAAACAAGTCAAAATATGACTGTGACTCCAGGGGAACAAGATATAGAACAATCCTTCAAAGCTGTGCAGAAAAACATAGTAAGTAGCCCAGAGTCGGATGTTTAATTCAACAGAGAGAGAGAGTGTTTGATATTTATGAGGGAAGTCTATAAAGTCTTCAAAGCAGCGCAAACAAAAGCTCAGAGATGAACTGCTTTGATAAAAATGACTTGTGGGGCAAAGCGTTTTTTGGGATTGATCGGGGTGCATCGACTCACTGGGTCTGTTTGGTATTCTCGGCTGTAGAGCTCGTGGCAGTTGTTGAAAATATATTCGTAGGTGGAGTTGAGGCAGGCCTTCACACAGTCTTTCACCACCTGACTTGCACGAGGAGGACTCTGAAGCTCCTGGACCTGGAGGAGACAGATTTACGGTCTAGATCATTTATAAGTGAAACAAAGCACCAAATAAAGCCTCAGTTTATGACTGCACTTACACCCTTAACACCAGCATCAACTAACCTTCATCCTGAAGAATGTGATACTGGTCAGTAGGTCCACCGTAGACTTCAGATCCTGTAGCCTTTCAGGACTGCTAGCCGGAAAATTATTCTGAGACAAGAAATGGTGTCATCAATACTCTTTTTCTACTCAAAATAAATGTTTTAATTAGGGATGCACAATATATTGTCGGCCATATCATTATTGGCTCAAAAATACTATTTTTAATGCTATCATTATCCGTCCAATGTCAAAAATTAGGCCAATATTTTTAAGCCGATAGATTATGTAATTGTACAGAACTGCTAGCCTCGCGCAAGAGCATGCTTTTGGCATGCTAATTTATGTAAAATCATGAATATAGGTCTTTATAATCACCTTGCAATTTTGAAATTATAGCTTTTTTTTGCTTTGAGTAGGCAATTCAGTTCTTAAGATCAGTTAAAACTTTTAGGAGGTTTTTAAAATAAAATCAGTTGTTCACTGTATAAAAATATAACATTTTGAAATATTTATATTTATCGGCTACAATATATCGCTATCGGCCTCCAAATCTTAAGAGTTATCAGTTATCGATATCGGCCAAAATTCTTGGTGCATCGCTAGTTTTAATGCTACCTTATTCTTTTATAATATAGTTATTATCAACTGTCTGATTAGGGAACACCACAGTAAGCATTTTAAACACCAAAAAGTCACAATACCCTGTACATTGAGAGGTCAATCCTCAGAGAGTTGTGGAGCTGGTCTAGAAGTTTCACAAATCGTTCTTTCTACAAATAACACACATAAAAAAAAAACATATTAGTACAGAAATCTTCCTTTGACACCACAGACAAAAATAATTCATAAACCTGGACAAGTTTGAGATTTTGAGATTTTTGGCTTTTTATTTTTCCGGTCTTAAGATTTTTCCGGTCCTACTCTTAAGAAAACTACCAATATAAGTTTTTCTTTCATCACACTTTATAATTTTCTGCCTGATACTTCTATTACAGTACAGATTTTTAAAGACGTTATTTCTCAAAATGAGTTTTCAGCAGCTTTACACACACCAAACGGCAGGTTTATTCATATATGTATTCTGAAGGTTTTAACTGAGAGATTTGTTCATGCATAACTTGCCTGATTATATACAAGATGTTAAACAAAATACAATTACAAAACCACTGTAAAATATTTTGTGAAAAATTAACTAAGCTTTTTTTGCACTTCAATTGATGATAAACAGTATAAATTATGAATCTGACCTCTTCCCAACAGGGAAAACCAGCATTAACCAATGTCATAGCAATGCAATCAAAAAATGTCATTATAATGGAAGTCAATGGGACAAAAACAGCCCTGAACATAACGAAAGGGTAGTCAATTTTGCCATAGTGTTTTGTTAAATAAAAAAAATTCAAAGCATTTTCCCCAAATATATGTTAAAATAAGATTTGTCACCAAAAAACATTTGATTTGCTAAAACACAGAGGAAGTTGTGGCCAAAACATCCCCAACAGCACATAAGGCTTAAATAATGCCTTTTTTTGCAATTTTTAAACAATAAAGTGGGTAAATATAACCATTAGTTATTTTTTACCCTGTTTACCTGCAGTGAATAAGAAACTCACCCCAAAGTTGGAGGCAGCGAAGCGGTCAGAGGCGGATACGTTGTTAGTGGCTTGGGTTGTGTGAGCGTAGTAAGCATTGATGTTGGCTAGTAAGGTGCTCATGACCGCAGGCACTCCAGGACACATGTACTTCGAAGACAAGCAGGCAAAGTGTCTAAAAACAAGAAAGCACAAAAATATCGTAAGAAAGATCGTAAAAGGTCAATGGCAAGACTGTTGGGGACAATCATACGTCATGGCTTGATAAATAGACTCCACTCCGTAACGCATGGCAAACTCATCCACGATTTCTTGGGGCGTCTCTTCAAAGTAAACTTTCCATGCGTCATCGCCCTTGGCATCTGGTATCTTCACCACACCATTGTTTTGAATGTCTGTTAAGTAGTGGAAAAGGTTCTGTGGAGAGATGAAGGGAGGATGTAAACCAATTTGCTACGGACTAATTTGAAGGGTGGAAAATGGGAATGACAAACATGACCATGGTAGAATCAGACTGACCTCGTGTAAGCAAGTGTACTGGACGTGGTACGGAGCTACGGTTTCTTCTCCTTTGATTTCCACACTGATGTGCATACGAATGGCTCCTGACACGGCAGACTTGTCAGTACGCTTATCTGAAAGGAAGTGAAATGAAGCTGGTTAACATTCAAGTCATACAAAAGACAGAAACATAAAAAATGGTACAGAAGGAAACATAAGCATACAAAAATCATATGAAGTCTTAATTAAATGTTAAATTGTACAACAATCTTAATACAAGAAAACTATACAGCAAAGAAAATCATACAGAAATGATTTAAAAGAGGATATTTAGAAGAAAACTGAAGTAGTGCTGATTTTAGAATCAATAAGCAGATAACCAAATATAGGAGAAAGTAGTTAAAGTGCATACAGTATATTTTATATTGGACTCTATTATACAAGTAGTATTAAGTCTGTTTTATAAAGAAGTTGAATCTATTTGATACACAAAACATCACGGTATGCTCTATAATCTTTACCCCCACCTCATTGGTCATTGTCAAATAGGGTCAAAGTTGATCATGGTTTGATATATTAGAACTGCATTACAACCTGACCCTTAACACATTTGTGTTATCAAATCATTTTATTATTCAGATTTTTTTTACTCACCTAGATTGTACCAGACGTCCATTTCTCCGCTCAAAGTTCGCACCTCGATGATGGTCTGACCGAGGAAGTCATCAGACTCTCGTTTGAACTTCTGCTTTACTCTAGACTTAATATCATCATCCTCATCCCAAACACGGACTTTGATCCGATCAGAAGAGTTGTGACACTCACTGTTGAGAAGTTTGTGTATCAGAATAAGCAATGATCCTTGATATAATAAATTTGGGTTTCAATCCAAACAAATAGTCCACTTACAAATTAAAACTCTCATCCCATACAGGGTTGAGGTTGCCGTAGATGGTCTTTGTTCGTTTTTTGGTTTTGCCTACTTGAACTGTAACATAAGGGTCACTGGAACCGGTCTTATCCTTTGCCTGCAGACCTTGAGCACATAAAACTAAGAAAAGAAATAGGGTTAATACTAATACTAAGACTAAATATAACATGACATAACGAACCTGTGCTAGTTGAAGTAGGTCATTACCGGTGATGCTGATCTTGGCCGACCACTTAGAAGTTCCATCCAGGACACTTTGCTTAATCTGCTTCATCTGTGCCACATGTGTGGCCTTAATGACTGCAAACACATCCTGAATCAACTCAAATATCTCAGGCTTGTTCCGTTCACGGATCTTCATGCGGTCTTTTAGCACCATAATAATGTTCTGTGTGCGATCTTCAGCTCCATGTTTAGAGCTCTTTTCTGCCGCCCCTGTAAAAAACAGATAAGGTCTCTTTCAAATGTGCCTTTTATGCTTTTTTTAAAGCTCCTGATTTAGTTTTAGGCTATTTACATGACAACAAGGTAGCCAAATAAATAGAAAAGTTTCTCCCAGTTTCACATGACAATGTTTTGAAAATGATCTACATTTACAGATTGTGAAAATGGCCAAAAATGCTGTATTGATATGCCAGGCCAGTTGGCGCTGTCACCTTGCTAGTAAACAGTGTCTGTAAGGATGTGATGACATGCTGATGTAGGATGTGCTGTTGATTGTAATGTGAAGTAAATTCAACCTTTGCTGATGTAGCATTAGCAAATCCTTGAGCGAAAACAATCCCACATACTCCACCATTGTTGTGTATACTTTATGTGCTCGCTTTTAATCTACACCTCCCTAAACCCATACCAAGCACGCGCATGACGTCATTGTTTTCAAAGACCCACATTTCAGGGGTTAACATGGACACAACAACAGTGGGATGGTACATGGTGGTTTTCAGATTTTTTGCGCTTTCAGTCCCAAAAATATTGCGGTCGTGAAAACTAGCACGTAAACTAACACATTAAAAGTTTCCTGCTTTGGGTTGAAAAAGCTGTTGTGTAATCAATCCCTTAGAGGTAACCAAATATCACTTTAGAAATTGTTCTAAATTGTAATTGTGACTTAAAGATTAGATAGTTGGACTTGAATCCAAAGGTTGACAGTAATAGCAAGAGTTGTAGGTGGGAAAGTGTATGAGCTGCACTTATTTCCACCTTAAAATCCATGATCGAGGAGCCCTTGAGCAAAGCACCGAACTCCCAATGGCTCACAATTTTACTTTGCATCAATGATCTTAAACTCAATTTCTGTTGGGTTGCAGCTCTGCATGGTTTAACTCCAACCATCTTCAACTCACACCTGCTTAATAGGTTCTAGTAGTGTTGAACACCTAGATTAGTTGGATCAGCTATGTTTGATTAGGGTTAGAGCAAAACTGTGCAGAGCTGTGGCCCTTCAGGAATTGATATTGAGACCTATACTTTACTTCCATCTGAGATTATATAATTTGTTGCCAGAGGTAAGTGGGGTAATAAAAAACACATGTGTGATGCACCAGTCTTAAGTTCCAGCTCCAGAAATTAAAGAAAAAAGAATGTTTGTCCGTTGGAGCATACAGGGGAAGCTGCCGTCTGTGAGGGAATGAAGGAATCTTCAACATTTGCCAAAAGCTAGATCCTTCTGCCATCCGGCATTATGGGGAGGACCAGGCAGAATAAGGGAATGATGCCAGGTGAGTTAGACTGCAGTTTAGAGGATACCCCCTGGCCTGCAAGGGCGGCCACGTATTTATAATGAATGAAGTGGGGCCAAGTTTTATGTAGGAAAGTAAAGGACAATAGAGGACCAGGTATGGGGCAGTGATGTTAGTGTATTGTTTATGTTTGTGCACCAGTTGTCCATGACAGACTGCAGCCTACTACCATGTTATTGTTTATTATATAAATAAACTTCATGTAAAACAATTTCCTTCTTCTATAAACTTTGTTACATTAGTGCCGAAACACAGAAAAAAGGAAGGACACACAGAGATTCTTCAAACTGGGGAAAATTCCTAGTGCAGAGCAGGGATTTTCATGAGTCTGGTGTTGTGGGCACTTAATGCTGATGCTGGAGGAGCTTATAGGGAACAGCAGCCAGCTGTGAGGGGACTGAGAAGTTAAATCCCTTGCCAGAGTAAGGGGGTATATCTAATGGGTGAAGTGGGGTACAGACGAGATCTGTGAAAGTCAGGTGAAGAAAAAGTGGTGGCACCTGTGCTCCACACCAGCCTTGAATGCCAGGGAGGAGATCAGGAAGGTAAAGTCTCTGTGGGTCAGTTGTTGTCGAGGGCTGCTGCTTACTTCCATTTCAATGTTTATTTTTTGATTAAGGATTATGTTAACTGCTCAATGTGAAATTTCTGTTACATTGGTGACAAAGCCTGTTAGGAATAAAGGACACACTGTCAAAGAGCCCTTGCTCCTGGGGGAGATTTGCAGTGCTGAGTAAGGAATATGCTAAGTCTGCCACCATGGATGCTTGTCGCTGGTACTGGAAAAGGTTGCTGGGGGTGGGGGACAGACTCGCTGCTCTCTGTGGGAGCATGGAGTTGGCATTCATGAGGGGACGGACGAGTTGACACCACTGGCCCGAAGCTAAGGCCTGGTGCCCTCCATCATGATGGGAAGGATCAGGCAGAGTAAGGGAACACTGAGGAGGAGCCATTGCTGGCCATCAGGAAACCCACCTCGACCTTCCTTCAGCTATGAACTTTATTACATCTTGTGCAGGAAGTAAGTCTGAAGTTAGTGATGTCTTTATCCAGGTAGTTCAGAATCGGTTCAAACGTTTCTTTTGGAAGACAATAACTCGCAGGACTATTTTTATTGTGCACTTTGATCTTTATAACTTTGCAAACAACAAAATTTCACACAGCATGAAAAGTAATATCTGATAAAAGATAATAAGGGTACTTTATGACAAAATAAAAAATAATTAAAGAAAACTAAATAGAGTTTCTTACTCTGCAGGCAATCGGCATTGAGTAAATCTTGACACTTCTCGTGGCACTTGACCCCACATTCTGTGCAGCGCATGCCCTGTCGAGCGATGCCCCAAAGAAGCCCCTCACACTCATAGCAGTAGGTGGGTGTTGTGGCCGTCCACACCTCAAAGTTGTGCGGCGTAGTGCAGGAGATGGGGTAAATCAAAGCTTGCAGGGTTTTCTTATAGACGTGACTCTTCTGCAAGACCGAGATAAATCAACAGGTAAACGGGAAATTGCTCTGAGCAGTAAAATGTGAATGTGCAGGAAGAAAAATGACTTGCTGACATACCAATTCTTCATTGTTAAGTGTGCTGGAGGCCATAGCGGAAGTTATGCCGGCTTTTCGAGAGTTCTGTACTAGAGACTACAAAACAACAACAACAGAAATTTAGGGAAACATTTGAGAAAATGTGTGAATGTGTTGTTGAATAAGAACATTTGGTTGCTTTATTATATATGTTTTTGATATTTGTATGTCACACTTAAAGTACAATAAAATAAAACATAATAAATATTAAATTAATTATTATTTTTATGAATGCAAATAGTATTTGAACAATGCTTGTACAATAATAATAACTGTAGCCAAAACATGCTTGTATTAAAGTACTTCATCCAGTGTAATGAATAATTTTACTTTTAAATACTTACCATTGCCTGGAGGAGGTGAGGCATTGCAAAAAAACAAAACAAAAATAAAAACAAATTAGAAGTTTTTCAAGATTGATGACAATTACAATTACATCTAATTACAAGTCTCCTCAATAAGAACAGCCCAAAAGGTTGACTAAGCTTTTCACTCTTTATTGCAGCCATTTGCTAAAATCATTTAAGCTTGTTTTTTTCCTCATTAATGTACACACATCCCCAAATATCCCCAACAGAAAATCACTGAATTGTTGACATTTTGGCAGATTTATTAAAAAGAAAAACTGAAATATCGCATGGTCATAAGTATTCAGACCCTTTGCTCAGTATTTAGTTGAATCACCCTTTTGATCTAATACAGCCATGAGTCTTTTTGGGAGAGATGCAAGGTTTTTACACCTGGATTCGGGGATCCTCTGTCATTCCTCCTTGCAGATCCTCTTTAGTTCTGTCAGGTTTGATGGTAAATGTTGGTGGACAGCCATTTTAGGTCTCTCCAGAGATGCTCAATTGGGTTTAAACCAGGGCTCTGGTTGGGCCATTCAAGAACAGTCATGGAGTTTTTGTGAAGCCACTACTTCATTAATTTAACTGTGTGCTTAGGATCATTGTCTTGTTGGTAGGTAAACCTTCGACTCAGTCTGAGGTCCTGAGTTTTCATCCAGGATATCCCTGTACTTGGCCGCATCTTTCCCCTTGATCGCAACCAATCTTCCTGACCCTGCAGCTGAAAAACACTCCGACAGCATGATACTGCCACTATCATGCTTCACTGTTGAGACTGTATTGTACAAGTGATGAGCAGTGTCTGATTTTCTCCACACATTCAGCTTGGAATTAAGGCTAAACATTTTTTTTACTTGAGAATCTTATTTCTCACCATCTTGGAGTCTTTTAGCTGTTTTTTTATTTTTTTAATTTTTATGAAACTCCATGCAGGTTTTTATGTGTTGGGCCACTCTGCCATAAAGTCCCGACATGTGGTGGGCTGGAGTGATAGTTGAGTTTTCACAACTTTCTCCCACCTCTTGACTGCATCTCTCAGCCACAGTGATCTTTTGGTTCTTCTTTATCTCTCTCACCAAGGCTTTTCTCCTCCGATCGCTCAGTTTGGCTGGACAGCCAGCTCTAGGAAGTACTCTGGTCGTCCCAAACATCTTCCATTTAAGGATTATGGAGGCCACTGTGCTCTTAGAAACATTAAGTGCAGCAGAATTTTTTTCCAACCTTGGCCAAATCTGTACCTTGCCACAATTCTTTCTCTGAGCTCTTTTGGCAGTTCCTTTGACCTTATGATTCTCTTGTGCTCTGACATGCATTGCAAGCTGTAAGGTCTTATATAGACAGGTGTGTGGCTTTCCTAATCAAGTTCAAACAGTATTTTTTAAACACAGCTGGACTCAAATGTAGGTGTAGAACCATCTTAAGGATGATCAGAAGAAATGGACAGCATTAAATATATGAGTATCACAGAAAAGGGTCTGAATACTAAGGATCATGTGATATTTCAGTTGTTCTTTTTTAATAAATCTGCAAAAATGTTAACAATTCTGTGTTTATATGTCAATATGGGGTGCTGTGTGTACATTTATGAGGACAAAAATGAACTTAGATGATTTTAGAAAATGGCTGCAATATAACAAAGAGTGAAACATTTAAGTGGGTCTGAATATTTTCCGTACCCACTGTACATTTTAAAAAGAAGTGCTAAATTCACATTGTACCTTTTCTGAAACACAAAAAAGTATTAATGTATTTAACAAGCCTCAAAAAATTCATTACACAAGTAAAGTGCACAAGAGGAACTGAAATGTAAAAGGAGAAAAGATAAGAGAGGGAGGAGGTTCGTTGTCTCTTGGTTAAATTGTTTTTGACACGCTTTTGAATTCTGCTCAAGTCAGCACTTCGGCTCCTGACTTAAGAGTCAGTTTCATTGGCGGTAAGCTGGATTAAAATCGACAAACTGCAGAGCTGTTTAGTGCAGTATGGTAATTTTCCCCTCATCTTCCAGTCCGCAGCGTCAAAGACAGCCTGGTGCCTTTGCCTGCTATGACAGCTCTCTAGTGAAAGCTGCCAGGAGCGTTCTTGGCTGAATAAGTACAGCCAGACCTACAGGACAGCTGTCAGCTACTGAAGGTTTTTTTTTTTTTTTTTTTGGCTCTCATTATATTGTTTAACCAATAAATAACTCTCCTGTCACTCTAACAAGAAGTTTTTGCAGAAACAAGTAATCGCAAAAATGGATTATGTAGCTTGTTTAATGTGGTGAAATAAAATGCGCCAATGCAAGACATAGCTCTTGAAAACTGTGGTAAAATTATTTCCTTGCATGTTTTTACAATTTAAATTAGCAATACATGAAAAGTTAGAATTACTAGCAGAATGTAAATGTGTCTATTCAATTTAAATTTACCTTGTCTCAGAGTAGGGCACGATAAACTGATTTTATCCATTAACTCGAATGTACAGTTAACATCGATTTGTTTGAATGAAAATCAGCGGTTTCAGCATGCACCAGAATAAATTCCAATGTTCCTTTAAATATGAACTTTTATTTTACCACAGTATTTTAAGTGGATTTTCTGTGTTCGCCTGCTGCTTCTGACGGTGCTTGTGTCTAAACAGCCTTTCATCTGGCTTTACTTTAAAATGAATGCCTATTAGAGTCCATTTAATGGACTATATTTTGTTTAAATCATATTATCGATGCTGTTAATGGAACCTTATAAAATTCTGAAAAATGGGCAAAAATCAATCACAGATGCAGTCGGAATGTAGGCTACGTTGCGAAAGACATGGTTGGAAATTTCAACAAGTTTTCCTAAAGTAGGTTACAGGAATTAAACAAGGTTAACAGGGAATGAAGTCACCTTTGAAAGCAATATAGAGAGCAAAATTAATGGGACTGTAAAGGACAAATTGAGGCAGTCAGGGGGCTGCCTAAACCCATGGGGATTCATCAGTCTACAGGGTGAATTGAGCTGAGTAATGCTCTAATACTGTCTAACTCTGTAGCTGTGATTCAAACAGATGTGCCATAGAGACTTCTGTGCACTACAGACCCTTGACAGGCTGCTGCCCAAAATAACCATGCTGATACATATGGATGGTACTTTTGAAGAGTTGGGAAGGTGATGTTACGTCCAGCAACTCTTTGAAGCACTGAAGCAGGGATGTGTGACTCACCAGGTCTCGGACAAGAGGGATGGCCTTTCTCTTGCGAAGGTCAGGCATGCTGTCTATGCTGTAGAGAGCACCTCCAGGCCTGCAGCCCAAATGGATGGAAGTATATTTAAATTTCTGTGCATATTTTATACTTTTACTATCACATTGTATGATTTATGGCTAGAACAAAAAAGTTGTAAAAGTGTTTCTTTAAATTTTTTTTAATTCTTAAACAGCAGTTTTGAAAGTAGACCTTGCTAAATCGATATTTAAATAAAGCATCTAATTGATACAAAGTAGCTCTTTTGTAGCTCCAAGTTTGTAATTGATTGTGCATATAGTGTGTAATTTTTAATTGAACCAATTTAGGCAAATGATCTTTTAAAAGAGAAAAATGTTTTATAATCTTTTACAAAAAGAGGGTTCTGTTTCAAGTACATTTCAATACTAAAATGTTGATACATACACACACACACACACACACACACACACACACACACACACACACACACACACACACACACATATATATATATATATATATATATATATATATATATATATATATATATACATACAGTATATATATATAGTATGTATATATATAAATATATATATAGCTGATGTTGCTGAATAGTTTATTCATTTCTCCTCTGCAAATGAGCTGCTGTACTATGGTGACACTCACCCTGCTTGCAAAAAGAGTGACGCAAGTCCCGGAGTCTCGCCTCGAGCCTGTAGGCAAAAGGGAGGGACATTGGGGTCAGTGATCCATATATATTAATTCAATCCATCTACTAAACCAAATTTAACTTCACTTCAATATCCATGCAAACCTTACTATGTTATGTCAATGATATTATTGCTATTACAGAAAGCAGAGCACTGTCTGCTTTGACTGGACCCAAAAAGAGACAGTAGTCAGCCATTGAAGTCATTGAAATCAGCTACAGGCCTCATAATTAGACCAGATTTGTCGAACATCTTTATCTCCATTATTCTGCCATAACACCTCCATGTTCAGAGAAATCCCGCCCATAGCCACCCATTAGGAAGCTGTGTTTACATCAGACTCACACATAACCACACCCACCTTTTAGACTGCTCGTCCAACTTCGGTAAAGCAGGGAAGTGCATGATAATCGCTATGGCAATGACAAAAAACTGAAAGAAAAAAACACATAAAAACAAAAACAAATGGGGTGGAACACATAAAGGGGCAAAGGTATGAAATCCCAAAACGAAACTTGTTTTTTAAACGTATGTAACAGTAAAATGTAAAACTTAAAAGTAAGTGACAAAAAAGTAACATGAAATGGAGAAGACAGGCAAGAAAAAGGACAACAACAAAGGGCAGAACTAACCAAAGACTAGAGATCCAGTGTTTGCCAAGAGAACAAACTGAATAGGCATAAGCAAGCTGCCAAACTTTGTAAATAAAAGGTTTAATTGCTATGCACTTGGAAGATGCTGATCAAACATATCAAGAACTCAGACCACACGTACCTCCTGCAGCTGAAGGCGAACCCTGTTGAAAAGTCGTAGCCAGTTGGCTTTGGCCCTTATCGCAGGGTCTACAGGTGGTTCCTGCTTTGATATGCTAGGAAAAGATGGTGAAATTGTTAGCTGTAACCTGAATGTAGCATAAAAAGCCTCACCTTTTTAATTTTACAACGACTCTGCACATGTAGATTACCTCTCAGGAAGAGCCTCTTTCTTTTCCTGTTCTGCTTTGGGTGGGATCTCAGTGGTAGATGTGGACAAGAGATCCTCTGCATAGGCTGGCCCATTGCCTGGTGGCGTTGGGACTTTCTCAGGCTCCGTGTCTGAGATCTGTGGTGGGGTTGTGGTACGAGGTACCTTGGCAAAAACATCATGTGTCTGCTGTGGAGGTGGTGACTCTCGCTTGGGCTCCATGGGCTGGAATGGTATTTGGGATTGTGAGGGCTGTTGCTGGTGCATGGAAGCCTGTTTCTCTAGTGGTGGACGGCTTGTGAGGGCATCAGGAGCCAATGTTGGGGCAGTGCTGGTCGGGGTAGGAGTGTAGGGAGGCTCCTGCTCTTCGCTAAGAGTGCCATCCAATGGGTAAAGGTCTTCGTCCTCTTCATACACCATTCCTTCCTCTTCCTCTTCATAGGGATACTCCCCTTCATCCTGTTCATAGATCTCACCCTCTTCATCATAGAGTGCCCCTTCTTCACCTCCATCTTTGTTGTACTCCCCATCATCACTGTAGACACCCTGTGGCTCATCTGGGTCCCAGCCGGGTGATTCTTTGCCATAGCTAACAGAGGAATGGCAGGAATGGTAGGAATCATTCTCATCGTAGAACTCTCCAGAACCCCGAAAGCTCTCGCCATCCTCCGGGCCAAACTCCTCACTGAGTTGGGAGCTGCCACGGCTCAGTTCACCAGATGAGGCATAGCGACTACTGCCGGTGGGGCTGTGGGATCAAAGAGTTGCTAGTTATATTGAGTCATGGAACAAACAAGGAGGACGACAGCTGATATACAGGTTTATGGGCCGTAAAAAGAGAGTTTGAGGTACAGAAAGCAGGAACGATCGAGCACAAAGAAGAACAATACTTGTCAGCTAATAGAAGTCTCTCTATCTGCAGAAATTAGCCTGAAGTTGACAACTGACAAAGATGGCTTTCTGGACTTCCTTGATCTCAGTGCAGTATAGTTGGTAGACCAGCTAAATCAGCCTAGACAAGTGCTTTCAAATGTTACATTCTAATCACTGAAATAATTTTCACATATCCTTGAATGTATGAGTACCGGTAAGGAGTAAGAGAAAACAAGAGGAAGTTCTGAGGCTTGTTTCAGGGAAAAAACTCACAATGTCACAATTTCACGATGTCAGACCAAATAAAAAATGCTAAGATAAAATGACAATGCTAGGAGTTGCCAGCATACAAATTCTTCAAAGTGGACAAGAAAGGACAACACAAACGAAAAGACAGAAAGAGAGAGAGACACTGAGCTGACAGAAAAGGGGACGCAGCATTTTCCTGTGACACCCTAAACAAAGGAAGACTATTTATCCTCTGTGATGAATGAGCCAATTAGGTGTAGAGAGATTGAAAAATTGGAATGAGTAAGAAAAGACGGGCTGCCACACACACACACATTATTGATTATGAGACATAAGATTTAGTAATGCATGAAGAATCAGAAGCGATAACAATGGTGTGTGTAATAGGCTGTGAGCCAAAACCTGCCTGGGCTTCAGACTGGAAGAAATACGAGAGCCATGGGACACACACATAATTACACAAACAATCACACTTCTGTCAAGTCTTTCTGCCAGTTAGTCATATATCCTTGTCACCTTTTCTCACTCCCTAGCACACAAACCCATAAATTCTCAAGACACACACAGGGCTTTATTTCCGGCTTTCCACGCAAAACATAACAGCTTTTGGAAATGCTTGGTCCATCAGACACCAAGAGGGTAAATCAGTGGTGTGCACATTCCCTGGTCTCTGTCACAGCCATCGACATGGTCACGCCTGCTGCCCACACATAGCATAGTGTGTCTAAAGGCTATGTAATTAGTGCACACTAGGCTTTGGAAATTACAGCATTATTCTCCAAATCTGTCAGGCATAAAGCAGGCAAATAACACACTTTATAAAAAAACTGTTTTCCCAAGCTAGTGAGGATTGTACCCAATTCTGATTGCACAGTACAGAAGACACATAAAAAAGTTTGTGAGACAATTATCTAAAACCACATGACAGACCATTAAAAGGTAAACAGCAATCATGATAAAGACATAGATATATACAAAAATGTATAGATAGAGTAAATATATATCAATAGACCATGTATGTAAAAGAAGGATTGGTGCGCATGCATGGCAAGCATAGCGAGGACCACAGGACCAGACAAGTCCAGTTCCACGACATCATCACAGCGGGACGGAATCACAGGCTGGAGCAGGAAGAAGAGCAGGAGAAGGTGGTGGAAGAGGGTGGAGGTGTAGGAGCTACGAAGACCCACCTATCAGAGAGCGAGTGCCTACTGTCTAAGGAGTACTGGCGGCTGGTCCGCCTGCTTGAGCCAGAAGCCGAATCGAGATCGCTGCGGCCGTTGGTGGCGGAGTCTAAACTATCATAGCGTCTGGTGGGAGGGAAGGGGATGGGGGAGCAGGAAGAGGAGGAGCATGAGTAATGTCTATTTTAATGGTTTTTCATCTCACCTCAACAGCTCACATTGGACGGAAGATGAGCCAACTTAAAGGCAATGTTTAACCAAGAGACTCCAATCAAGCTGGGATCAGGATTTGTCCATTAATGAGTTTAAATGTTTTAACAGGCCCTATCCCAAGTGGTGCAATCTCATGGTCTTCTCTTACATGCCTCTTTCAAGTCCATGAAACCCTAGTTTGACATTTAGACTTATTGAAGGCTTCTTATGAGTTATTTTGAAGACTCCTTAGGGATCACATAAAGGAGTAATATTACCAAATAGTCTGTGTGGTAAACTGACATGGAGATGGTCCACAAGAGCCTCAAGGTCGGGACACACCAAGCCGATGGTCAGCCATTGGGCTTCATTGGTCCATCTAGTTGGTTTGGTGTGTTCCTCAAGTCGCTTTTCATTGGGTTAACCACGAAGATTGTTGGCTAAATTTAGCATGTAGAATTAAGGTCAGCGGTCATGAAAAAAAAGTGCTCTGACTGTTTATTCAGCAACGAATTCAGCAAGTGACTTACAAGAGGCCGGCTGTAAGTTTGCTACATTTCTCAGATATTTGCAAATTATTTGGAATATTAGCTTACTCTTAGTCCCAGGGCCACTTTTCTTGAAGTTGATCTTTAGCCGAACCATGTTGGTGTTTCGTAACATTTTAAATTCGTCTCAAATCAGTGGGTCATTAGCGGACAATTTAGCTTACCCAATTCATCTATAGCGCATGTCTCTGGGCTTGTCGGGGAAACCGGAAATGGAGAAAACCCACATGAACATGGGGAGAATATGCAAACTCCACACAGAAATGCCAACTGAGCCAGTTGGGGCTCAAACCAGCAACCTTCTTGCTGTGAGGCAACTACGCACTGTGCAACCGTGCCCCCCAGATTATTGGATTATTAGGAGCAAATCCTTCTGTGGTGAATGACAATTACTGTTATAACTGTACTGAACGCTGCTTTGTTTACTCTTTACACATGCATGTCGAAAGTTCCGGTTTCCCGTTGTGAACGAGGTAACATATACTGCCCACTGCTGGTGTGGAAAGACATGAGCCAAAGTGAGGTGACAACATGGTTGGGTTTCATCTGTGCTAGTTGTTTTACATCAGCTCGGTGTGTACCGACCTTAAGAAACCATTTGGGACAGGGCCAAAGATTAGAGCACAAAGTCTTTAGCATGCAATTCAAGAATGTTGAGAATACTACTTTTGGAAGACTAAATGTACATGAGAAACAAGCTCGTTTTGAAGAGAACAGGACCAAAACGAACAATTTGAGGGAAAACAATGCATTCAGATATGACACAGGTTGGCTCCAAACCCATGAAGTGTATACAATGTCCGCTCATCCAAGGCTTGTATACAGTCATCAATGCATAGGAGTAAGAACAGAGGAAAGTTGTACAAACACAGTAAATGCTTTTACTAGATTATATATGCTAAAGTGGCTAGCATTAGACACTACTCCACACTTAAAAATTGGGATAATATACCTAATTGCCCTCTGGTTATCATAGTCGTAGTCGTGCATTTCGTTGTAGCGGGATCCATGTTGCATTTGTCGGATGGGGTATTGGTGCATGGATGCGTTGGGTTGGGATGTGGTGTAGAAAGGAGGGGGGATGCTGTTGCTGGTTTCACTGCGGTAATCACTGTCTCGATCATCCACAGCACTGTCTGGATCATCATCTGAGGAGCAAGGGCAGATTTTAAATGTAAACTGTGTTGATTAACCCAATAGACTGATTGGTTAATAGGAATGTTTCAGTTCAGTCCTCCAATAAGCATCAATTATAGTCTTTTTGTGTATTTTCTATGGAACAAATTATGCTTACTTTGTTGGTCCCCCCATAGACTCCAGTTACCTGTGAGAAGAATAAACACAAAAATCAGAAGAAGGCCAAGAAGTTGTGATGGAAATAAATCTTTGTGGAACACATTCCTGTGTGACCATGAGCAAGCACTTTGTTATAAATCTGTGTTGTAAAATTACCAGGTGTGACATAGGCATAAATTTGGATGTTGGTAGTGCAAGAAAGAGACCTTGCCCAGAAATACTTTATACTAATGATTAATGGCTCTTATTTGAAGCAATAACAAATGACCTGTTGGCAAGCAAATGTTCCACTCATCCTAAACCTGTGTCAAATATAACTGAACATTGTCCAGGAAATCTCTTTACATCTTGATAAATAATTGATCTAGTGCTCAGAGATTAAGCTTATATTGGACCTACTGATGGGGCAATTGGTCTTCTAATGAGGTTCTGTACACATCAGCCTACCTAGGGGGCATGCAATTTATAGTGAGAGTGTGAGTAGCGCATGAAAGCTCACAGCACTGAGTTGATGGCATTGGAAGTGGTCTCTCGTGCTCCTCCTGGAATGTGTACTGGAAAATGAGCAAATAAAGAAATTAATGAGTCTAGGAATCTAAAGAGTCTAAGAAATAGGTGATAGACTTAATTTTAATAGGTCAGTAGTTCAGAAGGCAAATTTAAAAAAAATGCATTTCCTTGATAGACTCATATTAATACCTGTTCTGCCCTTAGGCTCTGGGGAGGATTGTAAACACAACAAAACTAGAGCTGAATAAGAAGACTCACATCTTGGTCCCTCATGGCATTGAGCTGCTCCAATTTCTTGGCCCAGTATCGAGCTTCCTCCTCTGGTATATCTGGAAGTACAAAATGTATAACTTGAGACAAGTGTGGAGCAAATACAATATTGGAGAAAGCTATGAAAAACAAAATCAAGGATACCTAATGGGAGTTCAAATCGTGTATCTAATAGCACTCGATGGAATGTAGGATCTTTGGTGCCACATATTTCATTCTCAGCCATAATGACCTGGGCATCTAAAGTCAGCCATTGACCTGGACCTTCCTACAACACAAGAGAAAAAAATAATGGTATATCTGAAATCAGAGAAAAAGTATGCATTTTGGTTTGGCTCAACTATCGAGGTACAAAACTACACCTGTTCTAAATGCCTCTTAAAATAATTACTAAGGTATCACTGCTATTTCCAAACAACAAGCATTTTAGGCAACATAGCAGAACATTGCAGAAATAATTTCTAATGGTAATTCTAACAAATATTAGCAATTAGAGTCAGAGTAACAACAGGGAATAGTTTCTGCAACATGTTTGCAATGAGAACCAATGCCAGGCATTAGCTACCGATCTCCACATATAGCTCTACAGAGGGTGAGAAAAGCTGCAAGCTGTTGGGGGCCAGGCCGGCCATCTGGGCTGTACCTCGTTGGACTGTCGAATGCTGCTCAGAGGGATCCACAATGTGCCAACCATGGTGTCCCAGATCAGTCCTTTGTTCCATACCTCCACTGTCAGGCCCAGATCCAGTCTGTTAATCTCACTGAAAGACAGAGTGAAGGGTAACATTAAGACAAAGAGATTCATATTTGGTACGTTAATATGATGACTAAACTCTGTTAAGACGAGCAGAAAACAAACAAAGATTACTTTTAAATGTCAAACTATTAATGAAAAATTGCCCAGAAGATGCCAAGGTATCCATAATCTTGGACCAGGCCATATCCTGAGCTAATGTTGTGGTGGTCATGAGACTGATTCCTGAAAGACCTCAGTGACAGACGAGTCTTCGCAATGATCCCGTGGGGCAGCCTGATCACCTGCCGGTGACCACACCTGCAGTTCTCAACAATGAATGTCCAGTGTTCTCTAGCCTCTGGTGCCTAGACTGCAGCTCTGCACATGAAGTTTGGGCAAAGGAGAAATGGTTGTGCCCAACAGAGCCTGGTTTTTCTCTAAGTTTTGTTTCTTCACTTTTATCAATTGGTGAAGTTTTGTTCCTCGCCACTGTCACCACTTGCTTGGTTGGTTTGGGACTTGTGGAACTGTGCATCGATAATTTTTTTTCTTCAGTGTTTGGACTTTCAGCAGTGAAAATTAAACCACAGAGAACTGAACTAAATTGAACTTCAACTCTGAAAACTGAACTGACACTGTTTCAATTTATCTAGAACTTCTATGTTAGGCTGCCACACAATCTACATCGCAAAATCGCTATAGAAATAAAGATGAATTGAATTGAACTGAATTGAAAAAGCATCAAAAGCTAAACCAGGGTGCAGACAACAATGCCATTTGTGCCTTGGCCATCTCTAGTGACACTGAAATCGAAACTTTACAGTAATACAGCTTCTAAAGCTTCATCAAATCCTAATAAAAGCCTTAACTTTAATATCAAAACTAATCCCCCTTACAGACCATGGGAGTTAATCTTGGACGGAGGTGGTTCCATATTAGACATTGCAGAGTGAGATAAAGAGGAGCTGAAGCAGATCAGGCTTATAGATGACTCAAGATGAGGTTGGCAAGAATTTTGCAGCATCCACCAAATGTATTCTATAGGATTCTTTGTTGTCAATTTTTTTCAAGCTTTCGGTGTCTCAAAAGCCTCTAAATTGATATACAGTCCAGCATATCCCAGAGGTAAGAATACTTTCAGGCTTGACTGTATGATATTTTTACATTTAAAGGACAATGAAAGTGGTGAATGCGTTGCTATATTATTCTGACTGATTACTAGGTGGTTGATATGGTTCTGGGTGGTTACTAGGGCATTATTGAAAGGTTGCAACCAATCAAATTAGCAGATTCTAATGTCATAATAAAGTAAATACCTAAAGCACAATAATTGCTTTGTTTTGCTTTTGAACAACTTTTTTAGCTACATCTAGTCCAAACACGCATTGTTTCAAGTTCAACTTATATTTATTTGCAAATGCTAGGTAACTTCTGGACCATTGACAGTGAAAGCGTTAGGGGTACTACCTGAATACCACTACCTAAGGAAGGGCAAATATTAGAGAAAACACAAATAGTCCTTTCTCAAATCTCTTTATCTGCTGAGTCTTAAGGTGCAAAACATTCCATGCATGTATGTTTCTAGCCCTTGAGCTTAGATTTACACAATATTATGGAATGCGGCTAAACACAATTCAGATCAAGATCACTGCATTCTCAGCATTACTACTTGGGAACAAGCATTATGTATGCACATCAGGAGCCTGTCTATGCAATGTATCAGTCAAACATTAACATAAGAACGCCTGCTTACTCTCTCTCTGAAGATTTTTCTGGCCCTTCTTTATACCACAAAAGAGGAAGAGAACTCACAACATGAAGTCCTGTTCCCAACATGGCTGACTGCCTCGCACAGCTATGGTGGTGCTTTTCACATTTTGAACCTTCAGTGACACGTAGGTGTTGAATTTCTCTGCATGGAAAATCAGGGAGTTTAATAGACTTCCGAATAAACACAATAGATATTTATGTTATGTGTGGAAAATCAGTTACAGTGAGATGTCAGGCTTACCTTGTGGTCCATCGAGCTTGGCTTTCTTCACTGTAACAGAGAGACGTGTATGTAAATAAGAGATAAACATACGCATTAAAAATAATCACACTTTACATATCAGGCAGGGCATTTGAGATTCAATGTCAGCATATTTGCATTTGTGCGAGAGGAATTTCTCCAGGCCCTAGACTCCACTTTGCAGCTATTTATTTTCTTTCAGGGTAAGTGTTATAAGACACATTTTGGAAAAACACTTTTAAAAATAAAAGTTTCAAAACAGGATTTTAACAGTGAAGTCATAGAAGAACCAGATTGGGTTCCAAAAAGAACATTTCTTATGAATATTTCTGAAAAGACTCATTTTTATTTCTTAGTCTGAACAAATTTTAGCAATCTAATAAAACAGTCCTATGTACTGAAATGTTTTTAAAAGAAAAAAGTACTACCGTTTATGTTCTGTAAAACCTGAACAAGATACCATGGATACCATGATAAAATGTACCAAGGTTCTATTGTTAATTTAGGACGTGTTGTCACCATGTCCTGGAAAATTGTTATAATTCTCTGAAGCTATTCAAAATAAAATAAAGATAAGCATATTATTGCAACAGCACCACGATACAAACAATCAGATGCCGGCTCAAGCAGTCTAAACCCAGTATTTTTAAATATTTCTAGGGGCTATCTACACCTGTGTTCTTATCTTGAGTTATTTCCCCGCTTCTAAGAGTCTCCACAATTAAAACTTACAATGAGTTCTTTGACTGCAGTCGGTCTAATCTAATTTAATGATGCAAATTATAATACTGATACTATTTCTGATACTATATCAAAACATAAACTACTACTTAGTGGTTCTTATACGGCTGCCACCATTATCTCTCTTATTTTCCCGGCAGGTGATATCTGTGGTGAAACTCTCCTTTCTTTATATTCTAACAGTGGCAAGACTCATGGTCATTTTCTAACAGAGAGTGTGTTTTCTCATGGGAAAATACAGACTTAAATGTGTTCTATTCTAATGTTCTCTCCTCACACAACTGTTTAACAGACCAATATGAACCCATCACTTACATACTCAATAGCCACTTTATAAGGTACACCTGTCCAATTGCTTGTTAACGCAAATTTCTAATCAGCCAATCACATGGCAGCAACTCAATGCATTTAGGCATATAAACATGGTCACGACCATCTGCTGCAAATTAAACCGAGCATCAGAATGAGGAAGAAAGGTGATTTGAGTGACTTTGAATGTGGCATGGTTGTTGGTCCCAGACAGGCTGGTCTGAGTATTTCAGAAACTGCTGAACTACAGGGATTTTCATGCACAACCATCTCTAGAGCTTACAGAGAATGGTGCGAAAAAGAAGAAATATCCAGTGAGCGGCAGTTCTGTGGGTGCAAATGCCTTCTTGATTCCAGAGGTCAGAGGAGAATGGCCAGACTGGTCCGAGCTGATAGGAAAGCATTGGTGACTCAAATAACCACTCGTTACAACTGAGGTCTGCAGAAGAGCATCTCTGAGTGCTAAACATGTCCAACCTTGAGGCAGATGGGCTACTGCAGCAGAAGACCACACCGAGTGCCATTCCTGTCAGCTTAGAACAGGAAACTGAGGCTACAAATCACACAGGCTCGCCAAAATTGGACAATAGAATATTGGAAAACAATGCCTGGTCTAATGAGTCTTGATTTCTGCTGCAACATTTGGATTGAAGGATCAAATCTTGGCATTTACAACATGAAAACATGGATCCATCCTGCCTTCAACATCTGTATTCATATCAACTGTTCAAGCTGGTGGTGGTGGTGTAATGGTGTGGGGGGGATATTTTCTTGGCACACTTTGGGCCCATTAGTACCAACTGAACCGTGTCAAAGTCACAGCCTACCTGAGTAATGTTGCTGACCTAGTCCATCTCTTTATTACCAGAGAATACCTATCTTCTGATGGCTACTTCCAGCAGGATAACGCGCCATGTCATAAAGCCCGAATCATATCAGACTGGTTTCTTAAACATTAGAGTGAGTTCACTGCACTCAAATGGCCTCCATAGTCACAAGATCTCAATCCAATAGAGCCCTTTTCGGATGTGGTGGAACGGGAGATTCGCATCATGGATGTGCAGCCGACAAATCTGCAGCAAATGTGTGATGCTATCATGTCAATATGGATCAAAATCTCTGATGAATATATTTCCAGTACCTTGTTGAAGCCATTAAAGCAGTTCTGAAGGCAAAAGGGTGTCTAACCTGGTACTTTTAAGGTGTACCTAATAAAGTGGCCAGTGAGTGTGCAAATAGTACTAAGAAGATGTAAATAGTACATAAAGATAAGGATCTTCTTCCATAACTACAAAAAATAGAGTGATATCAAAGAATCCAAAAATTACCAATACTATCACTGTAATTACCAGTAAAAATGAAAAAATAATTACTCATTAAAACCTAAAAAAGGCTTTAAATCCTGAATGTTAAGCTACATAAGAAAAACAAGAGCTCAAAAAAGCTAAATCTTCTGTTTCCTGCACTGATTATGAACAGTTTGAGTGGTTATGAAACTGCAGGGAGGAATAGAGAGACAGTCTCTGTTACTTTTGCTTAGGGGAAATCTGGAAAAAAAAACTGTTCTCCAACTGAGCTCCTTTTTAAAGCCCAGTGACGTCAACGGTCCCATTCATAATTCATACTCCCCTATTCAGTGTGGGTAAAAGCGTCCCTGAGTTAAGGGGACCTTAAAATAATTTACAGCCTTCCACTGTAATCCATCACAGTCGGCATTCCTCTCTAAATTCAATGCAGAATTTCTCACTTCCTCTAAAACGCTTACTAACTGGCAATTCTAACACCTGAAAATAGCTCTAATGTACGGTATCTGAAGCATATGATTGAGAGGTAAAACCATAAACAAACCAATTTGCCTGTTTGCCAGCACACTGCAAGTCATCAATTGATTGCTTGGGGGACATCGAACATCATTTCCCTGCTGAGAATAGAGAATGTTTGTCCATGTTTGGTGGTAATCTACCTGGCAGATCAGCTTAGTCAAAACTAATTGAAGCCACTAGACAACCAAGAACTTTCTGGTAAACCAGGCTGACCAAAGATAACCTGCTTTATAATCTAGCAGGAAATTGGATGGGAGGAGGACTAATAATCTAAGAACAGTTCGTTTTAGAGCATAGATCTCAAACTCGATTCCTGGAGGGCCAAAGCTCTGCACTATTTTGCTACAACTCTAATCAACCACAGCTGACGCAACTAATTAAGGTGTTCAACACTACTAGAGACTATTAAGTAGGTGTGAGTGAGCTGGTTGAAGCTAAACTATGCAGAGCTGCGGCCCTCCAGGAATTAAGTTTGAGACCATTGTTTTAGAGTACGTGAGCTATATGGCATGAAAAACAAAGTTTATCCACAGTATATTGTGTTCACTCATTTTAGAATGACCCTCTATGTCCGTCAACCTTTGAGTATCAGCCATCCAATCTTTTTGTGCACTCACCAAGAATATAGAGAATATTACTAACTTCAATCTGATGCAAGTCCCATACAAGCACATTTCCATCATTTTTCATGTTTATTGCCAAATTAATTTTACTACAATGCCTGTCGGACAAAATGGCAGACAGTGACAGGTGCACAAAATACAGGCCTTATGATTGCCACTGATTCCACTGCCCACAAGGCTATAGGCACCAACAGCTATGATTATTTTAAGTGGAATAAATCAAGTACATCAACAACAAAACGGCATGGTCTTGCTTTAAGTATCCTTCAGTATTTACATGCACATCAATGGGTGTGGAAAAGTTCTGTATAGTATACAACCTATTTTTTGGTATAATTATGTATGCTCAGCTCACATATGTGCCTTGGATTTTGCAATGACTAGTTTGGCTACAAGTTGGCGACACTGTTACCCCAATGGCACACTAAGGTCCAATCCCAATTCTATCCCTTCTCCCATAGGTATCAACGTCAATTCCTGGAGGGCCACAGCTCGACACAGTTTGGCTTCAACCCTAATCAAACACAGCTGATACAACTAATCAAAGTGTTCAAGATTCTTTTGAGCAGCTCGATTATTTGAATCTGCTGTGTTTGATAAGGGTTGGAGTAAGACTGTGCCGAGCTGTGGCCCTCCAGGAATTGACAAACACTGTTTCTCAATATGCGTTCTTCAGCGGTCTTGCGTCCTCGTGCAACGTCATCATCAGCCGCCAAAGTTCAGTTACAATACTCAAGATCGCAAGAACAGAGGACGCGTGAAACTTCCCGCATGTGTTCTTAATATCGAGGATGCATGGATGCAGACTTGAGCACCGAACTCGCTCTAGAAGTCCCAGGAGTCATTGCAACTGGAGGTGGGAAGCACTGCATTTTATATAGGTTTATTATTAAAGTTCAGAGATATAACTTATTAATCTCAAGAGTTTCCCTAAATGAAACGGTGAATATAACCATTACCACGAAAATCTTAATAAATGAATAAACACATTAAGGGTGTTTATATGCTAAAATTCATATTAAAATCTGTTTTATTTATATGGTGCAACGTATATTTGTGAAGTCTTTACGCAGAGCATGGTTTCTGCTACATTCATTCTTCCATGACGTGGCACCACATCAAAATAACACGGCTACTTCCAGCTTCTCATTCAAAACATTCAGTCATTGTTGTTTTTTATTAACGGATTATAATTTCACCAGTATGTATTAAAAGGTAAGTGAATTATAACAGCGCAAACTTTTCTGTAACCATAGTAGTGCTGTGCGCTATTTGTTTAACCCTTTGAGGTCACGTGCTGACTGACTGACTGACTGACTGACTGACTGACAGGTGCGTGATTCGTGAGGCCAGCAAACACGACATGACTTTTAGTTATGATAAACACAGTTTCAATATTTTAAATTTATTTATAGATAAAGGTCTGTGGTTCTGCATATAATGACTTTATCTTGCTGGAGTTTATAGCCGTTTCATTTTACTTCAGGACGCATAAATGCCGCTCTATAAGTCTTTTGGAAACATACATAAACATTTCTAGAAAATCTAATAAATGTTGGAGACATACTCAACTA